ATGGAAACTTGCCGTCGGCTCATCACCCAATCTGGAGACCGGTAAGGGTCTTTGGAGCACTGCCCACTCCTCTCCTGCACCTGGAGAAGAACAGAGTCCTAGGCAAGATCTAATGGCCGTGAAGCCTAGTTGACTGTTTCTGTAGAGGTCTGCTTGGTGTCTTCACTGTAACAGACTCCACACAGGTCAGCCTAGGCAGTTAAATGAAATATATCACAAGTGGTTCAGTGCTAATCCCGGGACTCCACTGATCTGGTCTCACTTGTGGTCCTAGCCCTGGCCTAGTCACTTGTCCTAAATTGCCAGGTGTAGTTTTAAAGGTTGCAGAGCATAGAAAGGTAAGTGCAGGGGGGTGGGGACAGATGCTTATACCTGGTGCTCAGCCTGTTGCTCAGTCTTTATTTCTGGGAACATTTGTAGTGACTTTCTATGGAGGGGTGTTTACTGTTGTGCTTATTATTAGCTTATTCATCCCTTCAGTGTCACTGATTATGGGAATAAGGACTATTTCTGCAGTTTGGGGAGAGGAAAATGGGCTTGGGGTGGTGGTAGAGGTAAATTAACTACCCCACCCTAGTCATTCTTGACACAAAGTGGTTTTAGTGAATAGAAAACCTAGGTTCTGGGCCTGCCTCTGTCATATTGGCTGTGACCCTGAAAGCAAGTCAGTTAACCTATCTCTCAGTGCCTCAGACAACTCTTTAAGACTTTAAATTTCAGAACAGTTGCTGGATCTGCATTGATCTTGGGCATATTCTCGTATACAGTTCCCTGGATCAGTGCAATCCTAAGGCTAAATGGTTACTAGGCCATTTCCTCCTCTCCTGGCCAGAACTCACAAAGCTGATTCCATGGAGAAGCCAGGTTTCAGTCTGAATAAGTTGTGTGCTGCTTCTTGTCTAAATGAGCCATACTTCCTCCTAGAAAGGAAGGGCAAAGGGAGAGGCCAACCACTTTGTGAAATTCTCCTTGTCCCAAAGTAATAACGATTTTCTTTCAGAAAGTCTCCTGCTTTCCCTGTAGTCCAGCCTAATGAATCACCACCGAGTGAGACAGATGACTCTGATCACAATCTCTCATTTGATAGTTCTATGAGATAGGAGGTTTGCCTCCATCCTAGGTCCTCCGTGACACACCTCCCCCACCAGGGAAATGAGATGCACTGGAGATGGGGCAAAACAAATGTCACATGTACCTTCAGTTTGGGGGAAAGGAGATGATTCCTTAGCCCTTTCTCCTGGGGTGAGGGGGTGGGGTGTTACATAAAAAGAATTCTTATACCGTTGTACCAAACAAACCCAGTCCTGGGGTGCTGGGGAGCACTGCTCCCTTACTTCCTCCTCATTGCCCCCAATTTTCTGTGGTCAGATCTGTCAACCTGACGGGACTGACCTCTATTCTATGGGTGGCCAGAGTCAGAACAGAGCAGACTAGAGACAGGAGAGTAAGGAATCAAACTGAAATTTAATTTCAAAGTGAGGAAAGCTGCTTACAAGCAAGAACACATGTGCCAGGGCTCAACCTCTAGTGGGGGGACCCTCTTTAATGGGGGGACCCTCTTTAGTGTGGGAAGATCTCAATACTTACACCCATGGTTGAGCAGTGAACTGTAGCCCTGACACTGAGAGGTAAGAGCAACAATGTGGCAAGGCTTCATGACCAGAACAGGGGTACTTGTCTGGTGCTTGTCTGAGTTCAGAGATCACCTGGTGCCGGTCAAAACAATGCAACAGTTACGTGATTTTGTCAGAGGATGAGTGCAAAGGATTGTTAATCACCAAGCTTAGGACACAGCTTGCTTACTGTGCCTTAGCTCTGGAAAACAGGGTGTCTCCTAATATCTTTAATTTCCCTCTTTTGTCCAAAGGAGAGAGTTTGAAAGAACCACTATCCTTCTAGCCAATAAAGGAGAGGCAAGTATAAGCCAAAAGGCCAGTTGGGCCAGGATGAGATGTTTTTCAGCAAGTTAATTCTTTGAGGAGTCCTATCAGGGAAATGTGTCCCAGGTATCATTGTAAAACTCCCAATAGGGCAATGAGAGTAATAGGTCTTGTCTAGCCATTGTTTGCATGCAAGCAGCAAAATAAGAGGGGGCCAAGAATGTAGAGGGAGAAAATGCTAACACACTATTGAATCAGGATGTTGGTGGTTGGACACATAACAAAAGGGAAGAGGAGAAAAAACTAAGTATACTCAGCCCTGGTCTTGAACCTTGGGACAGCTGTATCATCTGCATGTCAGCTGTTTCGGGGTCCATATTAAGCAAACCTTGAGGTCCCCAGAAGTTTCTGCCATTCACTCAGGAACAGGGCTTTCTTCAGGTGATCTAGGATTCTACACCCAAGTTTGGCAGCTGTGGAAGTAGTCAGAAGGACCTGGTAGGGATCCCTTAGAAGACCTATGGGTTGAAAATCATGAGAAAACTTCATGTATAAGTCTTTGGATCTGAGTTTCTGGTCAGCATAACATAGATCCGTGGTTAAAGGCACATAGAAATGGTCCAGTTTCCCAGCCCTCAGGTCTAGGTTCAAACAATACAATAAAGTTTTTCTTACAGTTCCCATAACTGCATGATTACATTAAGTCAAGTACAGATCAAACTACTTAGAGGGCTCATGATGGACTAATTTTAAGAAGGGAGATTACATGTCACCAAGGGAGCCAGGAAAACTTAAATATAAAGCATATAGAGCAATGCAGTCATTATCACGAATGTTAACTAACATCAGATCTCTTTGTCTCTCAGTGACCCGTTCTCAATGTCCATTTTATTTAATCAGCACTTTTTGAGGCCCAGATGTCTCATGTAGTTATCTGGTCCCTAGATATCTTTTCTTGGACAGTAGGCTTTATTCTCAGGACAGCTCTAAAGGGGGTTCTGCTTCTTTACTTCCAAATCTAGAGGTTCATAGATAATTCTGACTTAGTATAATTTAATATCATCGCTTAAATTTGGTTCTCCAATTTTGAAACTTCAGAAATTTTCAGTTTATATATCATTTGCTATATCTATCCTTACCTAAATCCTGTACCTGATATAAGAATCTTTTAAATATCGTCCGAGAGATGATATTGAGAGGTCAGATTCATTCTATTGATAAATTGCCTACATCCAGAGCTCTTAGACACAAGTTATATCTTTATTTTAATTTACAGTAACAACATTTGACTGAACTGATTTGGCACCGTGAAACAAGCATCATTGGAACTTGCGCAGACATAGTTGGCAGAACAAGGAGAAGAAAGTAGTCAATGTCTGACAGAAATGGAATGCACTTTGGCTTTGCTTGTCTTTGATAGTCCTGAAGAATCACCCTTTGAAGATTTGCTTAATATAATGCAGTGGCAGAAGATATGTGGAGTTAAATTAAGCTGTCCTAGACCATGAAAATTGTGAGTCAAAACCTAAGTTGGCAAAGTTACTGAAGCTACTACTATGGGCTCAGAATGAGCTGGACCAGAAGAAAGTAAAATATCCCAAAATGACAGACCTTAGCAAGGGGACAATTGAGAAACCCAAGTAAAATGTGTAGAAGGACAGCAGGCAACTTTCCTACTGCATGTTGTTTTTCATTTACATCAGTCTGTGACTGAAAGGTTTTTACAGTATAGGACTTGATTTTTTTTTTTTTTTTTTTTTTAGCAAACGTCTTAAAACGGGAGAAATCCTTTTAAATGCTGGGGGAAAATGTTGCATTGGAAAGTGCTGTATATCTTTGAAAGTCTGACTTAGGCTATGCACTATAATATATTTTTTAAGAATTAGATAAATTTCATTTTGCATTTTAACATCCTAGTGCTTTTCTGATTAGCTACTGAAGGCTTTTAGGTTAATAGCCATTCGAGTGCTGCATTAGTAAAGAATATCAGTTCAGCTGAATGCCTCACACTTAAAATGTTTGCAGAACACTGATTATTTCCTTTATGTTAAATTATAGTAGCCAGATAATGCATTTTCTCAACCACAAAGTTCTGTCAAGTTTTTATCAAGCATTTTCCTTTTGGGTCCCTTTATTTGCATAGGAATAAAGTATATATAAACTTGTAAATTGTAGTTCAAGGGAAAAAAAAAGAATGGGATGTCATGCATATTATGTTTTGAGGGAGAGGACCTGGGTAGCCCTGGACAAGTCTCTCAAACTTTCTTTAAAGTGAAGGGGATTGGATTAACTCACTAGAGGTACCTTTCAATCTTAAATCTTTGATCCTATGAAATCTGCTTGGGAGGATTCTGGGAAGATGGCAAAATAGATCAGAAAATTCCAAGCTCTCCAGATTCCCCTCCCCCCAAACAAGACAAAATAGCGCCTCAGGGAGGATAGAGTGCTAAAAAAATAAAGAGGAGTTGGGGCAGAACAGTCCTGAAGATCAAAGAAAAAACCCAGTATGGAGGTTTGGTCCGGGTGAAGGGTAAACACCTCCAGGCTAAGTCCACTGAAACAACAAGTGGCAAGTCCTGGGGCTAGCTAGGTTGGGAGGTGGCCTCAGCCCCAGCCACAAGAACTTTCACCTCTCAGTTTGGGGAGCTGGGTATCTGAATCAGGAAGATTGAGCGAACCTCTGCGGATAAGGAATGCCAGTCCCAACTGTGCTGCCAAGATGTGGCCCTGGGCATGGGGGAAACAGCACATGTCAGATGAGTACAGAAGCAATGGGGCTGGGACACCACTGGCTGTGGGCTCTTAAGGAGGGCAGAATTCTTGGTTTCTTTTCCAAGCTAAAGGGGAGAATTGAAGGAGGATGCAAGGCCAGAGGCACCATCCCCTGTATTCTAGGACTAGAGGTAACTACAAAAATAAGTCGCTAGCAAAAAAAAAACCGAGCAGGCAAAGGAGAAGGAGTACAACCATCAAAAGTTGCTATGGGACTAAAGAATACCGGGGTATGTATTCAGAGGAGGTTACTGAAGCAAAAAAAAAAAAAAAAAGCCTCTTCTACCCAAAAGAATAATGTCAAATGGTCATCTGCCCACGAAGAATTCCTAGAAGAACTCAAAGACTTTCAAAATCAAATGAGAGAGATTGAGGGAAAAAAATAAGAATAATTCTAGAAAAACAAGGAGATTATGAAAAGTCAGCCAACTTTTTCTAGTTGAATTCTAGTAGAATCTTGAGGAAGAAAATGGCTCCCTGGTTTTATTTATTTATTTTATTTTTTGAAAATGACTCTTTGAAAGTTAGAACTGGGCAAGATCGAAGCCAGCCAAAGACCAAGAAATAATAAAATATAAAGAATGAAAAAATAGAAGAGAATGTGGAACATAAGAAAAAGAACTGATCTGAAGAACAGATCAAGGAGAGAAAACATAAGAATAATTGGACTACCTGAAAGCTATGATCAAAAAAAGAATCTTGATACAATAATACAAAAAATAATTAAAGAAAATTGTCCTGAAGCATTAGAATGAGAAGGGAAAATAGAAACAGAAAAAAATCCACTGATCACTGCCTGGAAGAGATTCTACAAGGAAAACCTACAGGAACATGATAGTCAAATTCCAAGACCTCCAGCTCAAGGATATTGTGAGCAACAAGAAAAAAAACAATTTAAATATGATTGTGCCACAGTTTGAATCACACAAGACCCAACAGTGGCTATGCTAAATGATCGTAAGTCTTGGAACACTATATTGAAAAGCAAAAGGACTGAGATTGCAGCCAAAAATATCATACTTGGTGAAGTGAAGCATAATCCTGAATGAAAAAAAATTGACATTTAATGAATTGTTAGAATTTTGTTTTTTAAAAAACCAACAAACAAGGGGCAGCTAGGTGGTGAAGTGGATAGAGTGCTGGCCCTGGAGTGGGGAAGAACCTGGGTTCAAATCCAGCCTCAGACACTTGACACTTAATAGCTGTGTGACCCTGGGCAAGTCACTTAACCCCATTGCCTAGAAAAACAACATCAACAACAACAACAATCTTAACTTAGAAGATTTTACATATAAGGCCCAAGAGAAATATACAGTACACATCAAGGACTAATTACAAGGGATTCAGTAAGGATAGACTGCTTACCCTTTTATATGAGGAAATATAAAACATGTCTAACTTTCTTGCTAGTAATTGGGTAGTTTGTGAGAAAGATTGAGGTAGACTTGAGTATGATATGATTTGAAAAAGTAAAACCATTTAGGATCAGATAAAAAGAGTATTTTATACAAATGAGGTCTTAGAGGAAGAACTGACAGGAATTAGATGGGGAAGGAGGGCTGGTAGTTCTGGAACCCTACTCTCTTCAGTAATGGGTTTGAGGGTAGAAGGGTATAAAAGTCTTCTAAATTCAGAAAGAAATAAAAGGCTAAGGGGATAGGGAAGGGGGAGAGGATAAAGGATTTCTAGAGGGGAGGGGGAAGGATTAGGATAATGGGGTAATAATAGAAAGGGGTTTAGAGTAATGAGAATGGGAGGATAAGAGAGGGATCTTTGAAGGGGGGTAGGTTAAGTAATAGGAGGACAAGGTAGTGGGTAGAAGTAAAGTAGAGGAGTCAGGAGGGTTAGGAAATAAGAGATAAACATAAAGATCAGGAGTAGGATTTATTAGGTGAAAAAACATAGTATTGATTTCAGACAAAGTTAAAGCTAAAATAGATTTAATCACAAGGGAAAAATAGGGTAACTATACTATATATCAGCCATATTAATATTGTTTTAGACTATTTAAGACAGTATAAGGATGGAATATTGCTGTGGGGTGGAAAATGATGAGTTGGTAGACATGGAAAAGAGAAACAGGACAAATAAGCATAGTACGGTCTTGTATAGATGCATATGAATGTATATGTCTATATATGAGTGTGATAATAGATATCTAAGCATATGTATGCATATATATGTATACATGTGTGTATATGTGTATATATATAAAGCTGTGCTTAATTGTACCTTCTTGAGGGAGAAGGGTGGAAGAGAACAAAGTGCACAGCAGAGAACAAAGGAAAACTTACAAGGAAGCAAAGAAAAGATGAACACCTCTGAATGCAACTCATAGTATTTATTATATAGGCTTTCTTGAAATGGAAATTTATAGGTTTATATTTTGAGTCCTGTTAAGTTCTGCTGTGCATATGGCAATGCTTTTTTCCCTCTTTTCTTATTTTGTATTTAAGTTTTAATACTTAAGTTTTTATTTCTTTTTCTTTAACTGTGTAGTTAACTTTTTATATTCAAGTTTAAAATAAATTAATTTAAAAAATTAAAATTAAAAAAGAAATCTGCTTTCATGGCGGTTTGGGATCATTTGGAGCAGCTCAGTTGAAGATTGTATTTATATTCTTTGCTTTTCTGCTATTTCCTCATTGGTCAGTTTGAATGTGGTGTGATGGTGGTCATTGATTAAACTGGCTCCCAAATTATACCCAGGTTTTGTGAATGTAGATCCTTTCTTCATACTCCAGAAGATAGTTTCTTTGGCCTAGGTTTGAAAGGCTCATTATTAGGAAGTTGGCTAACAGATGACTTACTTTTCAGAAATACAGTAACCCTTATGTGAAGCCATTCCAGCCTACTAAACCTGTCCTCAAGTACCATATACACCACCATCATTCTCAGACTTAGAAGGGACACCTCTAATTCCTATCCACATGATCAGTTTTTTTTATTTTTTTTTATTAATTTATTTTGATTTATCAGTAATCACTTCCATATGCTTTTGAGTTTAAAATTTTTCTCCCCCTTCCTCCCCACCACCCTCCCCAAGATGGCACACAATCTGATATAGGCTATACATTTACATTCATATTAAACATATTTTCACATTAGTGATGTTGTAAGTAAAAATTAAAACCAATAGGAGGAACCATCAGAAAGAGGAAGCAAAACTCAACAGAAGAGGGAAAAAAAAGCAATTCAACTTTCATAGTTCTTTCTTTAGATGTGGATAGCATTTTCCATCACAAGGCCTCTGGAGATGTCTTAGATCCTTGTATTGCCGGGAAGGGTTAAGTTTATCAATATTAGACATCATGCAACGTGGCTGTTATTGTGTACAACGTTCTCTTGTCTCTGCTCACTTCACTCAGCATCAGACCATACAAGTCTTTCCAGGTTTTTCTGAAGTCAGCCTGTTCATCATTTCTTATAGCACAATAGTATTCCACTACATTCATATACCACAACTTGCTCAGCCATACCCCACCTGATGGGCATCCTCTCAATTTCCAATTCTTTGCCACCACAGAAAGAGCTGCTATGAATATTTTTGTACATGTGGGTCGTTTTCCCATTTGTATGATCTCTTTGGGATATAGCCCTAGAAGTGCTATTGCTGGGTCAAAGGATATGCACATTTTTATAGCCCTTTGGGCATAGTTCCAAATTGCTCTCCAAAATGATTGGATCATTTCACAACTCCACCAACAATGCATTAGTGTTCCAATTTTCCCACATCTCCGATATTCGTCATTTTCCTTTTTTGTCATATTGGCCAATCTGATAGATGTGATGTGGTACCTCAGAGTTGTTTTGATTTGCATTTCTCTAATCAATAGTGAATTAGAGCATTTTTTCATATGACTATAGATGGCTTTAATTTCTTCATCTGAGAACTGTCTGTTCATATCCTTTGACCATTTGTCAATTGAGGAATGGCTTATATTCTTATAAATTTGACTTTATTCTCTATATATTTCAGAAATGAGGCCCTTATCAGAGAGACTGGTTGTAAAAATTCTTTCCCAATTTTCTACCTTCTAATCTTAGTTGTATTGGCTTTGTGCAAAAACTTTTCAATTTAATGTAATCAAAATTATCCATTTTGCTTTTCGTAATATTCTCTACCTCCTGTTTGGTCATGAATTCTTCTGTTCTCCATAGATCTGATAGGTAAACTGTTCCTTGCTCTCCCAGTTTGCTTATAGTATCAGCCCTTATATCTAAATCATGAACCCATTTTGACTTTATTTTGGTATACAGTGTGAGATTTTGGTCTATGCCTAGTTTCTGCCATACTCTTTTCCAGTTTTCCCAGCAGTTTTTTTCAAAGAGTGGGTTCTTATCCCAGAAGCTGGGGTCTTTGGGTTTATCAAATAATAGATTACTATAGTCATTGACTACTGTGTCTTGCATATTTAACCTATTCCATTGATCTATGTTAGGGTCCTGCTCTGGACCTCTGGCCTCCTGTAGAGAAGTTGAGACGCCTGGAGGTTATTACCTGCCCAGGAGCGCCTGGGCTTGCCCAGAGACTCGATGGGTACTGGGAGGGCCTCTGTAACAGGAGGGAGCTCCACCTACGAAGGGGGAACGGAGGAGGAGCACGGGCGTAGGGGGGAGGAGTTCGAGGGAGTCAAAAAGCAGTGAGGAGGGTGCAGGGCGAGGGAACGTGTGCAGGGAGTGAGCAGAGCAAGTAGTAGTATAGCAAGCTATGTAATCAATAAACACGCAACAACTGCCAACTCGGGTGTTCTGTCTAGTCATTCCCCTCTCACCACGGAGGGGCCAGAGACGTCTGAAGACTGCAGGGTGAGTATGCAAGCGAAGGCTTGGGTGGGATAGCTGACTAAGTGCACTGCGTCAGCTAGGGGACCCACCGGCACGCAACAGATCTACCACTCTATTTCTTAGCCAGTACCAAGCAGTTTTGATGATTGCTGCTTTATAATACAATTTAAGATCTGGAATGGCTAGGCCACCTTTCCCTGCATTTCTTTTCATTAGTTCCCTTGATATTCTGGACCTTTTGTTCTTCCAAATGCATTGTGTTATTATTTTTTCTAACTCTATAAAATAGTTTTTTGGTAGTTTGATTGGTGTGGCACTGAATAAGTAAATTAGCTTAGGTAGAATTGTCATTTTTATTATATTAGCTCGGCCCACCCTTGAGCAACTGATGTTTTTCCAGTTATTTAGATCTGATTTTATTTGCATGAAAAGTGTTTTGTAATTGTGTTCATAGAGTTCCTGGGTTTGTTTCAGGAGGTAGGCTTCTAAATATTTTATAATGTCTACGGTAAACTTAAATGGAATTTCTCTTTTTATCTCGCTGTTGGGCTTTATTGGTAATATATAGAAATGCCAACGATTTATGTGGGTTTATTTTATAGCCTGCAACTTTGCTAAAGTTGTTTATTATTTCAAGTAGTTTTTTACTTGATTCTCTAGGATTCTCTAAGTATATCATCATGCCATCTGCAAAGAGTGATAGCTTTGTTTCTTCTTTGCCTATTCTAATACCTTCAATTTCTTTTTCTTCTCTTATTGCTAAAGCTAACATTTCCAATACTATATTGAATAACAGTGGTGATAATGGACATCCTTGTTTCACACCCAATCTTGTTGGAAAAGCTTCTAGCTTGTCCCCATTACATATTATGCTTGCTGAAGGTTTTTAGATAGATGCTGTTTATTATTTTAAGGAAGACTCCATTTATACCTATGCTCTCTAGTGTACATGATCAATATTTTTTTAACAGTTCTAATAGTTAGGAAGTTTTTCCTTACGTTACTGGCAACGTTAAGTCTGTCTGGGGCATAACCGTCTACCAAATCAAAGTCCAAAGATTGGGCCTAATCTACACGTGAGAAACAGCCTGGAATGGTTCACATTCACCCAAATTCTGTTCTAAGGCTAAGAAACATACAGCTACAAACCCAACTCCTAACTCAAGGCTGGTGCTTAATTACAAGTTACCAAGGATATTTATACTCATGCTGCTTTTGATCTCTCAATATTGAAACTGAAACTAGTGGCTACCCTTTATGTTAAAAACCTGAGAAGTATGTATTTAAGAGAAAGGCACTTTGATTACATCGAGATCAGTAGTCATATTTCTTCCAGAAAAGACAAGGTACACAATAAATGCACTGAATGTGGTGACTTTATTGATGGTACACAATGTAAGACTCTAGGCTTCCCCCTACTACAGGGGTACTTTGGGACAAGGATGTGAATGGGACATGGGATCCCCAATATAGGAACATAGTTTAGGAATGTGGGCTCCCCAGTGGTGGAACTCCTTTTTTTGGCTGTGGATGAAGATCCATGGCTTTCCACTTTACTCCTTAGAGGCCATGAAGGCCATGAGGTCCACTACACGGTTGCTATAACCAAACTCATTGTCATACCTAGGAAGATAGACAAAGGACAGGTGAGAATTTAAGTATCTTTGGAAGGCAGCTATCATGTCATATACCTATTTTCCTCAGCTTATACTCCTTTACTACATACAACCACACAAAATTCACATTCACTATGCCACATACCAGGAAACAAGCTTGACAAAATGGTCATTGAGGGCAATACCAGCGCCAGCATCAAAAGTAGAAGAGTGGGTGTCACTGTTAAAGTCACAGGATACAACCTTGGAAGAGGAAGTTTATGTTAAATGAAATTCCAATTTACCAAACCTTCCTGATGCTATCTTTGCCCTTCCATACCTGGTCTTCTGTGTAGCCCAAGATGCCCTTCAAGGGTCCCTCTGATGCTTGCTTCACCACTTTCTTGATATCATCATATTTAGCCTAGAAAAGAAAAAGATGGAGGGATTCAAACTCCTGTGTTACTGCTGTTCTATTCTGTAGTCCATTGGGCAGGGAATCCCTCTTTGTCTAATGCTACACTTACAGGTTTCTCCAGGCGGCAGGTCAGATCCACAACAGATACATTGGGAGTAGGAACACGGAAGGCCATGCCTGTGAGCTTCCTGCAAAGAAAAGGATATTGTTAGTGTCATATTAAAATATCTCACTTCTAATTTTTTTTTCCCATGACCTCATCGGGGCAGAGAAAAATAAACCAGGATTAACTTACCCATTCAGCTCAGGTATGACCTTGCCTACAGCTTTAGCAGCACCAGTGGAAGCAGGGATGATGTTTTGGGAAGCACCACGCCCATCACGCCACAGCTTACCAGAGGGGCCATCTACTGTCTTCTGGGTAGCAGTAATGGCATGGACTGTAGTCTGCAATAAGAGAAAAGGGTCAGGCTAGGACAACACAATGTATTCATCTATTACCACGATCTTTTCATGACCAAGATTTTAGGTGATGTGACTGCTAACCTCCCCCTCCTCCCCAACACTAGCCCTTTGGTGCCATCAGGACACCATATATAGCTAATTCTGTTGTAAAACAGAGAAACAAAGTGGCCCAGTCACCCCATGATGTGTCCATACCATGAGTCCTTCCACAATGCCAAATTTGTCATGAATGACCTTGGCCAGGGGGGCCAAGCAGTTGGTAGTGCAGGAAGCATTACTGAGAAAGGAAGGAAGAGAAATCAGGGAAAGATGTTCCAGCCTAGACTCCTTGTTATTTGCCTGGAATTTCCTTTTTTCCCCCCTAGTGTAATCAGTGTCCCTTTCCCCTCCCTTCTGTGAGCAAGGCCTGCATCAATTCTTTCCTCATTTACTACCTTAGACCATTTTATCATCAGCCCTTCTCACCTGACAATCTTAAGGGAATTATCATATTTCTCATGGTTCACTCCCATCACGAACATTGGGGCATCAGCAGAAGGGGCAGAGATGATAACCCTCTTGGCTCCACCCTTCAAGTGAGCCTGAGGCAGAGGGAAAGAAGAAGGAAGTTACAGAGCTTGGCCCCACCTTCCCTGGTAGACAAGCTCCCATGTCCATTTTCTAGGTACATGACAACCACTCCAATCTCCCAAAGAAAAGGTCTTCACCCAGGGAACATGACTAGTGTCCCCATAACTCACTCCAGCCTTTTCCATGGTGGTAAAGACTCCAGTGGACTCTACAACATACTGGGCTCCAGCATCTCCCCATTTGATATTGGCGGGGTCACGCCTACAAGAGGATCAAGAAGCTATGATCATCTACTGCTCTCTTTGGATCTTCTCAAACCCCAGTGTTCCCACTCTGCCCACCACACTCACTCCTGGAAGATGGTAATGGCTTTTCCATTGATCACCAGCTTTCCATTCTCAGCCTTGACAGTGCCCTTGAACTTGCCATGGGTGGAATCATATTGAAACATATAAACCTAGAGAGGTGACAAGAATGTGGGAAGCCTCATCAGATGCAGCAGAAACAGCCACCTCCATCCCTTCCCGTGCTGCTCAGACCCTCTTGCCCCCAGCCACTGAGGCATCATTTACCATGTAGTTGAGGTCAATGAAGGGGTCATTGATGGCCACGATGTCTACTCGACCTGAGATGAATGCAGCCCTGGTCACCAGGCGCCCAATACGGCCAAATCTGGCAGGGAAGCAGAAACCAGAAGCAGAGAGAAGAAAGAATTGAGGGGAGAAAGCTAAAAAAAGGAAAGGTTCTGGGGAAGTTTATCCAGGAAAAATGGTTTCCCTAATAGGGAATAATAGCTAGCTTCAGAGCCAGGAAGACCTGGGACCTGGGTTCAAGTGCCATTGATACAAACTGGCTTGAAACCCTGGGCAAATCTCAACCTCTCAGTGCACTAGAGATTGCAGAAAAGGTGCTAACCTGCACAGGCTGAGGTTGGTTCCCTGTATCAATGACATCTGGTCCAGTTCCTATCCTTTGTCCTACAGGGCTCCTCAACCTTTAATATGCCTGCAAACATACCTTGGACATTGCTGTCAAGCAGGCTGGACATAGTCTAAGACCACAGGGTAAAAGGTTCTTGCTCTACCAAGGGATATTGGGTATAAACTTTGCCCCTTCCCCCCATCCCTTGACAATCCATGATCTCATAATCTCCTCTCGAGGAGAATGAGCCACAGGCAAGCGGTTCATGTCACCCATTGCTCAGACACTGTGAACATAGCTACTACATAGTATCTATCTTAGTATGTGCTAGGATCCCACTACTGACCAGCTTCTTGGCTTCCAGGCCCCAGAGGTAGAGGATTTTGGAGTCAGAATCCCAGAATTCAAAGGGCAGCATTAAAGGTTAGAAATTAACCTATGAAAGGTTAAAACAACTCCTCCTTCCCTCCTTCCGTCTCCCTCTAAAAGAACAATAACATTTTTTTTGCAATACCTGAAGTTCTAGATTCTTTCTCACCCACTCACCTAATTCCAACACTCTAAATGGATGAGATTTTGCCACTTAATGATCACTGGGGAGGTCCTTTCTTCCCTTCCCCAATACTAGAGGTTTTATAGTGTTCTATGTAAGAGAAAGCAAAGCTAGGTTCCCTGGCTACAGAAAGGTCAGACAGTTATATTTAACCTCAGGGTAGAGTAAAGGAGATCTGGTTTCTGGGGGCCAAAATGGAGAGAGGGGCAGGGTTCTCCTAGTGATCACAGAAACCTAATCCTCAAAATGACCTTTACAAGGCTGGCCTTTTGGGCAGGATTAGCTTTGGGGAAGGAGAAACCAAACAGATACACACATGCTAAGGCAAGAGAAATGGACATGCTGCCATGTTAATATAGTTTTACAGTGGAAATTTTCATTTCTAGACATCCATGACTCAGCATTAGGTTAGAGCCACCACACCCACAAATCACTTTGGGAAGAAGGGGTTCCCCAGCAACCTCAAACACATGGAAATTAGAAGGGAAGGGGGGCAGGATTTTTGAGGACAAAGAATTAGGCTGAGGTGGCTACCTCTAGGGTTTCCTTTTTTCCTTTTTTTAATTTAAAACAAAAGTGGACTAGATGATTCTATTATCTAAGGTCTCTTCCACATCTAAAGTCCTGTAATCTGAGGGAGACCGGGGTGGGCTGGAATGCCTGTCTGGATTCTGGGAGCCCAAACTGAGAATTAGGCAGTGTTGAGAACAGAGGCAGCTAATGAAATAGCTAGAAATAGCTCTCAGGTAACAGACAAACGGAAAGGTCCTGGTGCCTCTTCCCTGCCCTGCCTCCTGGCAGGAAGTGTTTTCTCCTCACCTTGGGGTAGGCACTAAAGAGGGTGAGTCAAGAAGGGGAGTGGAAGAGATGAGGCTCTGAGGATCCCTAACAGTTGCTCACTCATTTCCTTCCCTATTACAACATGGCTGTCTGAGTGACCGGTGGGAAAAGGCGCCCTCTCTCTGTTGTGAGGTGAATTAGTCAGGGGGAAAGAAAGTGCCAATGAAGGGGGAGGGCAGGAGCCCTTCCCCCACCCTTCCCCCCAACCCCCATGTGGCCCTGGATGGCGGGAAAGGGCATAAGAGATTCAGGGAGAGAATCCTCTGCAAGATTTTTTGCACCCTGTAGCAACAGCTGGGACAGCTGCACAGGGGTGGGGGGTGTGGAGAGAGGACACGGAGAGGTGGGGGGGGTGTGCTGGCACAAGGACACAAAACACTATTGAGTTTAGGCAGAAGCCCTTGCTGAGCTCAAGTCTCTGACCTTGGAGTCTCCTTGAAGGCTTGCACCTTCCCCGGGGTGGATCTCAGAGAAGAGGTTACAAAAAATATATATTCTCTTGGTTGGATTCCCAATAAGCAGGTTAGGCTGCATCGAGCCCTCTGGGAGTCAAATGGCTTTATTTGTCCCCGTCCGTCCCCATCCCTCCTCCCTCTGGGGCCTCCCTGGATCCCACTCACCCGTTGACTCCGACCTTCACCATCTTGTTTCAGGGATGTGACTGAAGCAGCAGATCCTGGGGCAGAAGATGTGGCTGAATCAGGGGCCCATCTCCTCCTCCCCCTTGCAGAGTCCTCCCCCCACACCCAGTCTCAACCCAACCCGGAAGCTCTTCGTCTTCTAAGCACCCCCCAAAAGAAAAAACAAAAATTCTTCTTCCTTTATGGGGATTAGCTCAGGAGCCACCATCCCCCACTCCATCCGTTCCTTCCATCCATCCATTCATCCATTCCAGCCCATGCACAGAGAGGAGGGAGGGCTTCCAGAGTCCACCTCCGTCCTTTTTTCTCCCCCGAGGCAATTGGGGTTAAATGTCTTGCCTGGAGTCACGCAGCTAGTAAGTGTAAATGTTGGAGGCCTCATTTGAACTCAGGTCCTCCTAACTCCAGGGCTGGGGCTCTATCCACCTTGCTACCCTACATGCTCCTCCAGCTTCCATCTTTGCTCTCTGCTGCCTCAGGTCCCAGTCTTTGTTCTCTTCTCTCCTCCCCTCACCTCCGGCCAGCTAGATCCCTGAATTCTACCTCATGCCAAACCAATGCCGCCCCCACCCCCCACCCTCCTTTAACATGCACCTTTCTCTCTCCCTAAAGACGAAGTGAGCAAGGTGCACAAGGGCACACATTCTGGTTCCCCTTACTCTCACTCTTACCCCCATTCCCATCCCCACCCCTACCATCCTTCTTTCCTCTGGAGAATTTACCTGGCACTGAGCTTGGGAGAAGATCTGACAGCGCAAAGGGAGGAGAGAGCCGGGTTTTATAAGGGCTCAGACAACAGCCCCTCCCCTTATACTAGATCTCCAAGGCCAAAAATGGGGACAAGTTGGCCACACACACAGGACACTTCAGTTCCCATCTCCAGTTGCATGGGCTGTCTGCCAAGCCTGGAATGCTTTCCCTTATCACCTCTACTGTCCACGTCTTGGAATTCCACGTTTCCTTCTAGACCCACTTAAAGCACCATGTTCTTCTCCATGAGGCCTTGCCTCAGTCACCCATCTATTACTGCCTTTCCCACCAAAGTTACCTTGTATCTGTTTTGTATATGCTTATATATCTGCACTTTGTCTCTTCATTTACAAAATAAGTTCTTTGAAGGCACGGACGGTGTCACTTTTGTCTTTGGTTACCTGGTGCCTGACAGATAGTAAGTGCTTAATACACCTGGATTCAAATCCTACCTCAACACTGTGACCTTGAACGTGTCAATTAAATTCTTCAGGTCTCAGTTTCCTCATCTCAGGAAAACTCATCTTCTTGAATTCAGATCTGGCCTCAGACACTTACTAGCCTGGGCAAGCCACTTAACCCTGTTTGCCTCAGTTTCTTCATCTATAAAATGAGCTGGAGAAGGAAATGACAAAATACTTAAGTATCTGTGCCAAGAAAACCACCATAAGGGTCACAAGTAGTACACAACTGAAAAATGAATAAACAACAACAATAACAATATGGGGCTAATTATAGTTTCGCTATGGACCCCACTTAGTATGGTTACTGAGGGAATTTCTTCTTAAAATTTTAGGGGCTATTTAGGAAACATTATTAAAGAAATCAGTGGGAAGCCAGAAAACTAAGGCTGCTCCCTGACTGGATGAGATTAAGACACATGAAAAGAGATCAGGACTTGGGGAGTAGGGATGAAGAAGAGAGGAAATTAGGAAAGCATATGCCATGGTGGAAAGGACATTGGATTTGGAGTCAAGGACTTGGGTTCTAGTCTTTGCTGTTATTTACTCCCCATGTGACCTTGCAAAGTGAATCTTCTCATCTGTAAAATGAAGGATTTGTACTAAATGATCTGGAAGTTTTCTTCCAGTTCTAAGACCTACGATCAACACAGAAAGCAAAAGGTCCATCCCATGGTGGGAATGTGGCCACACTATGTGGCTAAAATTAGCCCTGCTGCCTTCCATCCCCACTTTCCACTTTGTTTTCTCATTAATAGGAGGGAGGCTATAGCTTACTGCTTTTCTCCTTCTGGAGACCTGAAAACATACCTCTCCTCTAGTCTTTACGGTAGTGAGGAAGGAGCAATTGAGGAAAGGCAGGGGTGGGGCTACCCAGCCCCCATTTCCCCTTGAGCTCAGAGCACAGGGACCCATTTATATCACAAAGCCCTTTGGCTTCAGGCTCCAGCCTTCCCTGGATTAAAACTGAGAAGAGGGAGGCTCCAGCTAGCTGAAGGCCGTTCAAATCTCCTTCTGGAGCAGAAAAAGCAGCCTGGAGGGAGACTAGATAATTTAGGCAGATTAAATTTATCAGAACCAGAATTATCCAAATCACTTTGTTACTTTGCTGCTGGGAGTCTTGAGTGCTGTAGGGAGGGGAGGAGGAGGAGGAAGGGAGCAGTGAGATCTGCCCCCCTCCACCCCCACTGCTCTGGAGAGGGAGCATATCACCCTGGTTACAGCTAGGATGGGGAGGAAGGGCATAAGAAGGAGATTTAAGCTTTTGGAAACCTGGGAGGTGCCCAATCCTGACTGAGAACACAGTGCTTCTTTCATGATGGCATCAGGGTGTGAGGCCCTCCTGGGTTCTTTCTGTCCTGGGAGGTTGAGGCTAGTGTAAGTCTGGAAGTCTCCTTGGTCTAGTGGTCCCAGCTGTGGTCGGGGATTGGTTTGAGTTAAAAGGAGGGTGTCAGGCATACAGAAAGTGGGTGCATTCCAGTAAGAGGTTAGCTGCTTCAGGAAAGAGTGAAGAAAGGATTGGTCATTTCATTTCCTTCCCAATTTCCCCATCTAAAGAGGGGGGATGGCAATAAAATCTAATGATTAGATGATCCTCTATAAGCTCTAAATTCTGATTCTAAACATGAAGTCATCTTGGGAATGTGGCTAAGGGTGCCAGGAGAATGAAATCCTCTGGTTGCACTGAAAAGATTAAGAAATGGAGATACGTGGACAGCAGGTTCAAGGGTGGGGGGCATCCTGGGGGCTCTTTGCTGTCTCAGGGTAATCTGAGCTTGGATCCCTGCCCCTCTCTCGAAAAAGCCATTGGCTAAATTTAGCTAAGTGATAACCTTTACTTTAAAGGTTAAGAAAGGGTGGTGGTGGTGCTTCTCACTGATTCTGCTGCCTGTCACTGGGTCTGACCTGTCCTTTTCCAAAGAAGGCTCCTATCTTCAGTAGCTCCTAGGCCAGTTTGTATTCATGCTTGGCAATGAGTTCATGGATTTAATGAGGCATCAGACAGAGAGGAAAGGGGGTGGGGTGCATCTGTGCAAAGAGGAGAGTGTCTGTTGCTTTTGGTCTTGTGGGAAAGTGACAGAAACAAGCTCTAGGGAAGAGGAATACGTGAGCATATTCATGCAACCATGCAGCATATCATGCAGGCACAAAATGTATGGATTTTTTATGGATTGCTTGGAGATGAGTGCTTTCCTCACTGTTCCCAGTCCTTCACTCCCACCCCAAACAGAGAAGGCAGCCCAGGGCTGGGGGAGAATTATCTACTGTTGTCATGATGCAGGCACAATCATTCATTGAATGTCTCTTTGATATAACTCAGCTATCACAAAGAACAAGCTTGGTGTAGGGGCAGGCTACTTTCACCCTTTTTACTGGGTCCTCCTGTACCTCCTTCAGACATGCCTGTGCCTCCCCTTCCCCCATCCTTAAAAAACCTTCACTAGACACTTGCTCAAGCTTCATCCTCCCCTCAAGCTGTCAACCTGTATCTTTCCTTCCTTAGCCAGCCAAAATCTGAGAAAATATCTATACACATTGCTCCAGTTTTCTCACTCCTCAGCCCTTTGAAATCTTGTTTCCTATGTCATCACTGAGGCTGTTCTCCCCAGATCTCAAATGGCCAAATCTGACAGCCTTTACTAGGTCTTAATCCTTCTTGACGTTCCTGTTGCATTTTCCATTGTTGTCTCTTCTTTATTACTATCTTCTGGGTTCTCAAAACCACTCTTTCCTGGTTCTCTAGTTGTCTGAACCCTCCCTCCTCCACCTCTGTTGCTGGCTGTTCATCTACCATGCCTAACTCCATTTTCTGTCCCTCATGTCTTCAAGGCTTTGTTCTGGGCCCTCTTTTCTTCTTTCCACACATTTTCGGTGACATCATCAGCTCCCATAGGTTTAATCAAAACCTTTATGCAAATGACTCACAGATCTAGATATCCATTTCCAATTATTCCCAAATTTTAGTCCCAAAACACCAATCGCCAACACCCAATAGGACATTTTCAAACTGATTATCCCATAGACAACTCAAATTCAACATGTCCAAAGCAAAAAACTCATCTTCTCAAATCTATTAAAACCTTTCAAACTTCCTCCATTCTTCCAGATTTGTAACCTCATAGTTACCCTGAACTCACTGGCCCCACCTATCTCCCCATCTCTCCCATCCAACTCCTTCTTTCCTCACATAGCCACCACAGTTCAGGCCCTCATCACCTACCACTTCCTAGGCTTTTGCTGTGGCCTCTTCATTGGTATCCCTGCTTCAAGTCCCTCCTTACCCAGATCCATTCTCCACACTGCTGCCAAAGGGATTTTCCTGAAGCTGCAGATTTGCCTGTGTTTTTCCTTACTCAGTGAACACCAGAATAAAACACAATTTCCTCAGGTTAGCTTTCAAGGTTGCTCTCTTTCCAGAATCATTATACATTACTCTCCCCTCTCCCACTCTACAATCCAGACAAACTGGCCTTCCCTCTGCTCCTTACACAAGGCACTCCATTTCCTGTCTCATGCCTGGAAGGTATTTCTTCCTTACCTCTGCCCCAGAGAATCCTGTTTTTCCATCAAGGTAAAGCTTATGCAGCTAGGTGGTGCAGTAGATACAGTACTGAACCACCTAAGTTCAAATCCAGCCTTAGACACTTTTACTAGCTGTGTGATCTTGGGTAAGTCACTTCACCGTTTGCCAGTTTCCTCATGTGTAAAACGAGCTGGAGAAGGAAATGGCAAACCACTCCACCATCTTTGCCAAGAAAACCCCAAATGGGGTCATGAAGAATCAGACACAACTAAATGCAAGTTTATGCAATGCCCTCCTACAGGAAGCCTTGCCTACTTACTCTCAATTGCTAGTGCCCTCCCACCCCACCTTGTGTGTATTCTGTATGGACTTCAATATGACCATCTTAAACAGGTGCATATTATTTCCCCTCAGAGGATGTATGCTCTTGGAGAGTAAGGATTAATTCCCTTTGGATTTGGTGTGCTCAGCGCCTAGCAAGGTGCCTGATGTATCATGGACATTTAACACTTATGGACTACAGGCTATAGGTAGTAGTATGACATGCAAATGACATGAAATGTAGCTCCAGGGTCAATCTTTAATCCCCGAGGGTCATGAGTCATGCATTCAGGAGCTGCAACTCCTCTGAAGAAAAAACAAAGGGCCTCCACCCCAGAAACAAAAGCTGGTCAGGTGCTGTGCACTGCTATCTTTCCACATTAGATATAGCTTGGCTCCAGGGTCCCATAAGTGAGAGGAAGGCAGAGACAGGAGAGCACTCCCATTGCATCCCTCTAGGTGAGGGCACTGCACGCCTAGCAGCAGCTCTGCTCCTCTTAAGTTAGTGGTGGGGAGGTTGAAAGGAGGAAAACTATGATCTCTCAGAGGCCGCCTAATGCTTATTTGAGATCTCACAGTGAGTTGTGCCAGCACCTAGAGTGCCTGCATCCTTTCTCTGGTTCTTACTTGATTATCTTCCACTGGTGGCTGCCAGAATCAAGACAGGGCTAAAGTTTCTAAAAGAAGGTCCCAACTTAGACCAAGGAAGGTGGCTAAGTGAAGATTCCTGGGAAGTACATGAATTTTTTTTTATTTGTAAAAAAACAAGGGCACAGGGAAACATATATTACAGAGGAAGAAGAGCCAGCCTTGGCTCAATTATTTCCACAGGGCCCCCTCTCCCTACACGACAGGGATGGGAGGAGGGCGCCTTAAGGCCTTCTGGCTGCGGTAGATGCTCGGCGGATAGGGGTTGTCTTCTTAGGCGTTTCATCATCTTCTGTCATCTCTGCTGAGCACTCTGAGGAAGAGAGGGGTGGAAAGGGTAAGAGAAAGTTGAAGCATGAAAGTAAAGAACAGGTCACCCAAAACAGACTGGCTACAGACAGAAAGAACACCGACCGGAATTCAGGAGGCTGGGGTTCTCATTTTACCTCTGACCTTCTATCTATGGGCCTCCCCTATACAATGAGAAGGCGGGCCTAGATGACCTTTAAAGATCCTTCTAGCTCCCTGAACAGTCTAGGATTCCATGATCCCTGGTGTCACCTGTCACCAGTTCCAGAATCATGAGGCAGTGAAGTCTTCTAGTTCAGGGTGAGCCATGGTAGACCTCATCTACCTGTGCACTCTCACTCTAGGCCCCAGGTACTATACTGCGGATTTGAAACATTTACCTTCCTCACTAGATTCATCGCTGGAAAAGACGATTGCAGTCTTCTTAGAAACTGGCTTTCTGGTGTTAGTACGTCGTTCAGTAGTACCCCGAGGCTGAGGGGTAACAAAGTCACTGTCTGAAGTGGCTGAAGGGAGGCCTTGGCGAAGACAGGTGTCTAGGGTCACAGGAAGAAGACATGGATGAGTGTCAGGATCCAGTCACAAGCTACTTTTAGTGGAGAGACCTCCCTCTCTCCTCTACATTTGTTTTCTTTTTAAAAGTATAATTAAAATTATGTTTTTTTAAAAAAATTAATGGAAGTCTACTTTCTCTTCCTCCTATACCCTTTGCCACATTAAAGAAAAATAAAACCCTTGTAACAGACATGCATAAGCAAGCAAAAAAAACTCTCCTACTGGCCACCTCCAAAAAATGTTTCTCAATCTAAACCCTGAGTCCATCACTTCTCTGTTAGGGCCATCGTTAGTCCTCTGGATTGGGTAGAATTCTTAAATGTTTCAAAGTTGTTTGTCTTTACAAGAGTATTGTTATTATAGAAATCATTCTCTTGATTCTGCTCACTTTATTCTATTTTGGTTCATGCATCCCTTTCATCATTTTCATGCAAGTCTTCCCCTTCATGTTTTCTCTGCAACCTTCCCCTTCATCACATCTTACAGCACAGCACAGTAGGACTGCATCATATTGATGTACCATAATTTGTTTGGTTAGTTTTCAATTCATGGGCAACCTAATTCCAGTTCTTTGCCACCACAAAGAGCTGCTATAATTATTTTTGTACATATAGGTGTTTTTCCTCTTTCTTTGCCCTCTTTGGAGTATATACCTAGTAGTCGTATCAGTGGGTCAATGGGTTTATGTATGTAGTTTGATAACTTTTTGGGCATTGTTCCAAATTGCTTTCCAGAAAGGCTGGATCAATTTATAGTGCCACAGTGTATTAAATGTACCTGTTTTCTCATAGCCACTCAAGAATTTTTTACATTTTCTTGGGTCAACTTTGCTAATTCAGTGGGGGTAAGGTGGAACCTCAAAGCTGCTTTAATTTGCATATCTTTATTATTATTGATTTGGGGCATTTTTTTTATATGGTTATTGAAAATTTGGATTTCTCCCTCTGAAAACTGCCTATTCATATCCTTTAATCACTTATCAATTGGGAAATTGCTCTTCTTAAAAATGTGACTCAGTTCCCTATCACCTTTATCAGATCAATTTGATGCAGAGACTTTTCCTCCCAGTTAACTACTTCTCTTCCAATTTTAGCTGCACTGGTTTTATGTGTGTAAAACCTTTTTCATTTTTTGTAGTCAAAATGATCCATTTTACCTTCTGTAAATTCTTCCCCATCCACAGATCGTTTCTTCCCTGCTCCTCTCATATGTAAGTCATGTACCATTTGGAGCTCATCGTGATACATGCTGGGCGCTGCTGGCTCCACCGAGTTTCTGCCAGATTGCCTTCCCAGCTTCCTTAGCAGTTTTTGTTGAACAATGAGTTTGTCCTACATTTCTAACCCATGTCCTAATCAGTAGCTTCTCATTTGGGCCATTGGTTCTTTTACACATTTTAACTTGAGCTATCTCACATACCACTGATGTGCCTTCCAGTTGTTGGCTGGGATAGCGGATCAGCACCTTGATCAGTCTCAGGCTCCTCGGCTCCATCCAGTCCTCGGGTGTGACAGACCCGAAGTTTTTGTTCAAATTCATCCACCAGAGCCTGAAGTAAAAGGGGAAGGAATCAAGAAAGGGTCTGGAAACATAGTTATTGCCATGCAGGACAAAAAATAAAGTCTGGTAGTAACTGAGGTCCTAAAGTCTTATTTGCTCAGTTAGGAAGCCACTAGCATTGCTCAGAGAGCAGTAGAGATGTTGTAACCTCCAGAAGAAGAGAGCTGCAGGCCCTCCTCACCTTGCCCTCAGGCTTAGCCCAGCGCCGAAGTTTGCCTACAGCTGCCAGGAAGGCATTGAAGATGGTCTCATCGGACAATTTGTCTCCAAAGCACTCAAAGTTGTCTTGCATCTTACGAAGGCCTCGCTCTGTGAGCGGCAGCAATGACAAACAGTAGGCCAGATCTCTGTGTTGCCTCTCAGTCCTGATGACAGACAGGAATTTATGAGAGTAGGGAAAGGTAGGCATTAAATTAAGCAATCACAAAGCATTTGCTAAGTGCTTACAGTGTGTCAGGTATAGCATATCCTAATGCAAAAGTTAGATAGTGCCTACTCACAAAGAGCTTACATTTTTCATGGATAAGTAACAACAGGAGAGGTGTGAACAGATAAATATACACAGCATATATAAAAAAAATACAATGGGTGGTGGGGGGCACACTAAGAACTGAGGAAACCAGCAAAGGCCTTTTGAAAGAAGTGGCTCTTGAGCCAAATCTTGAAGGGAACTAGGGATTCCAAGAGGCACAGGTAAAGAGGAAGTTCATTCCAAGCACAGGAGACAACCTGTGCACTACGGACTGTCATCTCTAAGGAACAGAATGCAGGCTGCCTTGCCTAGAATATAGGGAGAGGAATGTATAAACAGCCTGGATATAAAAGCTCCAGTCGGATTGGTAAGGTCTTTAAATACCAAAATGGGAGTCTGTATTTTAATCTAATGGCAACTGTGACACATTAAGACTTCTTGAGTAGAAGAGGGACAGGGTCAGATCTACACTTTAAGAACGTCAGCTTGGCAGTTGTCAGGAGGTTAGATATAGACTGAATGCATGGAGCTTAATTTATGAGTTACTGTAATAGTCTGAGAGGTGATGAGAATCTGGATGTCTTCCATGTGCCTCTGCCATGTGCCCAAGATCACACAGGTGTTAAGTCACAGAGTCATGGTTTAAGTTCATATTAAAGTCCGGCCTTCTTTCCACTGTTCCACCATACCCCTTCTGATCCTCATCACCCACAGCTCCAGGGAGACTCGAGGGTCGGAATGGGAGGGGGGAGGGATTCTTTCCTTCCCAGATTCCTTTAGCATGACGAACTCTACACCCCTACCCCATTGACAAGCATACCAGGCTGTTCTGAACCTTTGGCACAGCTTCTCCACCAGACTCTCTGTTTGCTTGTCCTTGGTGATGTAGGACAGAAGCTGCCTGTGAGGAAGAGGAGAACTGTGGCTCCCACCAGTGCCTATCCTTTTCCACCCTTACATTATATTCTGCCACTCCCTCGCTTGGGTAGGAGGGATCTTCTTTTCCACAGCCCTATGAATTTCTAACTGACCTTTTGACTTCTCCCATCTAGAGATTTTAATGCAATCTCAAAGATCATCTTGATCAACCTGTATCTGAGCAGGATACAGAAACCAAGGGAACAATTTAAAAATGAAAGACAAACTGACACATGGTCCAGGTAGAAAAGAAATAGGGTTTTGTAGGTCAGAGAGAGGAAAGAAGTTCTCTACAACATACCTAGCAAGTGCTACTCTAGCTCTTGCACGAAGGTCTTTTTTTTTTTTTTTTGGGCAAATGGGGTTGAGTGACTTGCCCAGGGTCACACAGCTAGTGAGTGTCAAGCGGTTGGTCTGAGGTCGGATTTGAACTCAGGTCCTCCCAACTTTAGGGCCAGTGCTCTATCCACTGCGCCACGTAGCTGCCCCTACGAAGGTCTTTAAAAACCCTCCCTAGTGGTTAGAATGCCCTTTTCTTTTAAAATCAAGCCAATGATCTGCCCCCTGGGCCAAGGACAGCAAGTCATCTTTCACATGATCCTTCAAGTACTTGAGGACAGATCCCACTCCCCTTCACTCTTCTCTAGGCTGCATGTTGCTAGTGGGGTCACGACCACGCCACAGGAAAAGCTCCAGGGGATGCTCTGTGGCTCAGGGCAGGCACCTCATGATGGTGTGGAAAGATTCCTCCTCCACTCCACTTTCGGGATCAGACAGGCGACTTATAATGTCAGGAAGCAGATTGTAGACTACGTTGCCCTGTAGGGGAGAGGAACAGAGGCAGCTGCAAGTACCTGTCTGACGTGCATATGCACACCCCTGGTCCAGCACACCTTCCTTCTGGCCGCCTCTGGGTGGGCTCACCCTCTCACCTTGCCAGCAAGCTCATTGAAAAAGTTCTTTGCGAGAGCAGCAACTTCAGGCTCTGGGTCAATAAGCAACACGGCCATCTCGCTCACCTGCCCCTTCACCCTCACCAGATCCTTCAGGATTAGGTGTGTCATTACCAGCCCGGCTGTTTTCCGAACTTGAGAAGCTGGGTCCCGGAGTCTAGGGCAGACATTCGAGGTCAGTGGGAATACCTCAGCACCAGTTCCATTCAGGAGAAAGGACCAAGGCCCTGTATGTGGTCCCAAAACAACTCCCCAAAGCACGAACCCTCCCCCTCCCTTCATAATGCAGATGAAAAAGGGTCACCGACTAGGGGCAAAAGTCAATGTTTTGAGTTTTGTTCTTAGGTGTCCAGGTCAGCAATGTGATTAGCCTCAAATCAGCATTTGGCACAGCAGCTCCCAATACATACTCAAAGTAATGCTGATGACTGATGTTGTTTCAATGGCCGAGTCAAATGACTCCTGCCTGACTTTCAGGTTCCTAACCCTTGGTGACAGTTGAGCCTCATGTGGTAAGTCTTACCTAGCATAAAGGTTAGGAGTCCAGGGCTCTACCAGGTTGGGGAATCTGATAGCCAAATCCCCAATAGCCACCATGAGGTTGGATCGAACAACGGGAAGTGAAGACTTTTCCAACATAGTGAAGAGGAGGCGGAGCTGGGAATCACAGAAAGTGGCACTGGGGGCAGAGAAAGGAAGGATACTTAAGGAAGTGATAAGGGGCAGCTAGGTGGTGCAGTGGATGGAGCTCTGGCCTTGGAGTCAGGAGGACCTGAGTTCAAATCTGACCTCAGACACTTGACACTTAGCAGCTGTGTGACCCTGGGCAAGTCACTTAACCCCGACTGCCTCACCAAAAAGAAAGGAAAAAAAAAAAAAGGAAGTGATACCCCCTCAACTCTCTTTTAAAAGGTTGTGCCACAAACCAAGGCCTACCTGATCATGCAGAACTTGCCAAGAGCTAGTGAAGCAGCTGTAGAGAGGGTTGGGTCACTATAGAGGCCAGGATTATTACAGACCTTGAGCAAAAGGGGCACAAAAGCTGAGAGTAACTGTTTGCCTGTTGGAAGACAAAGGGATCAAGTTTCAGGCTGGAGATAGGAGCTCAGGCAGTAGGCAGTACACAATAACTCTGACCCAGCAATTCCACTATGGGGACCAGAGCCAAAGGATGCTATTAAAAGGGGGAAAAAATCTGTGCAAAAACACCTACAGCTGTTTTATCTGTCATAGCAAAAAATCAGAAATAATCTCTACCTATTGACATACCATACATAAGGCAGTGGCTAGACAGCTGGGCTTAGAGTCAGGAAGACCCAAGTTCAAATTCAGCCTCAGACACATATAAATGTAAGTGGTGTGACCCGGAGCAAGTCACTTAACCTGTTGGCCTCTATTTCTTCAACTGTAAAATGAGGATCATATCATATTAATCATATAAAATAATTTATTATTACTGTTGTTTATATGTATAATAATACCTCCCAGGGTTGTTGTGAGGATCAAATAAGATAAAATTTGTAAAGCACTTATTATTAGCACAGTGCCTGGCCTCATAAATGCTTTTTCCCTTCTTCCTTTATAGCGAGACTGGTGTATCAGTATAATTGGATACAACTGTGCTATAAAAATAGGAATAACACAAAGAAATATGAGCAGATAGGAGGTGATACAAAGTAAGGACGACAGAATTAGAAAAATGGCAACAATATCGCTGCATACAGATGGGACAAGAACAGCTACACAGCAAAGAAATCATTCTTATTATTTTAAGTTTGTATCACATTTTTCCAATAAACTCCTGTGCCCTTACCATGGAGCAGAACTGATGCTCAACTATGAAGGCTAGGACTGGCCAAGTCTTACCCAAGTTAGAAAGACTTTGCCTAAGAGCTCCAGACCAGACTGTATGTCTGTCCATGACCAATGGACAGACCGATAACTAATCTAGCTAAGTTTGGAGAGGCAGGCCACACAGTGATGAATTTTTTTTTTCTACTGCAGTGTGGAGGGTTTGTGAACTGCTGGTGAAGGAAGTAACAACACCCACTACATAATGAATTCGTGAATTTATATCTAAGTACTACATTATAATTTTAAAAATCAAAGTGTAAATTTGTACTTACTGAAGATATTATTAAATTTATAATAAAAATTATGGTTTCTTGTTAAAAAGTAAATCAGTCTGGGATAGAGGAATACCACCCTGACCCCTCATTTACCATCCAGCAGCTCCATCTCGCAGATACTTCGGATCAGCTCTGCCTCTGTGTCATCAGCAGAAGCACCTACTAGGCCTAACTCCTCCTCCATGGTACTCTCATTGCTGGTATTCTAGGGAAGAGATTAGGAAATCACAAAATTATCAGAGGCAATTAAGAAGTCCTCAACAACTCTTATTCTAGCCTTTATTCACTTTGCAGTCTGCTTCTGGAGAATTAACATGACACTAAATTAAAGGCAAAGTTTAGGACAAAATCCCAGTCCTATCTCCTATTCCAGGATTATTTCTAAAAGACAATGGAAGAAGTCAGTGGAGAAAACATAAAGTTCAAAATAAGGTAACCTGGGCTCAAGAAGCAAAGACTGTTATTCATGTTTCAAATAATTTGAGTATAAGTTGTTACGTCTCATTGCTCTCTCTCTCTCTGGGACCTTGGGCTCTTGGAAATTATTGCTGGCACAGTTGAGAACCAGCTCAGCTAAGTTGGAAGGGGTTCATCACCAGGTGATTATAATTTGTTTGGTCATAGCAGTGAATTAAAGTATTGACTAAAAGTGTGGAGCCTTGGTCTGGGGCAGTGGAGGGAGTACCCACACTGATTAAAAATCATACAGCCTTGTATTTATTAATGAAACTTTTTTATTATAATTAATAATATTTCCTGAGATTTAATAACCATTAACACAAACTGTCAAAAACATACCAAATAAAATGTCATATTTTATAGGAAATGAGGTATTTATAAAGCACTTTGCAAACCCTAAAGTGCTATATATGCATCAGCTTTTGAAGGGGGAGGGGGGAATCAAGAGAAAACAGATTGGAAATCATAAGGTCTGAAACAATAACCATAATAACAATGATGACAACAGAATAAAATCTTAAAAATTCATCAAGTAAGAAAGTAAAATCCAAAGAATTAACAATCAACAGAATACTTTTACTCTGTGTCTCTACATAGTTCCACTACCTCTGACTTTACTGAATAACTATTTATATAAGAACTTCCTCCTTAGGCAGAAGTATACAAAATGTTGTATTTATATATACCCCTCTATTCTTTGTGGTGTGAACAAGGCAAAGATGATTTTTTCCTCTCCATTTCATAGCTAGGAATATGGAGGTCTCAAATGGGAAAATGACTGCTCTGAAGTCACACAGCAAATCAGAGGGAGGGCTGCGAGGTGGGACAAGTGCTCAGATACCCCATCTGACCTTTTCCTTCTGCCCTTTCGTCTTGGCTTCCTCCTGCTCTTCTCGAAGGACGCGGCGTCGGCGGAGCTCACTGCTCACTGCTTGCTCCAAATGCACCAGCTGTTGTAGGGCCACATCACCAGCCAAGGACAGCAGATTCATCAGCAGGAAGGTGGGAAGTGTAGCTGCTGCTTCTGAGGAGAAATAAGCAACTGCATTTCAGGGCCCTTCTTCCCGGATTTCTAATGTGTTCTTTCTCTCTCACTTGTTCTGGTACTGCTCTGATTGAAAAAAGGAGGGGTTCTCTACTTTGGTTCATGAGTGTGTATGCACATAAAAATACATAAAAACAAATACCCAAAGCATATACATAAAGATGCATGCCCTCCTGAACCCAGACCCATACAACAGCAGGTATCATGCTCATATTTGAGCCCCAGCATCCCTAACAGGATGATCACAGGTGGTGTTTGCTTTCACCACATCATATTTCCCCCTAAGTATCTGCTCTCTGCTCCTTGGCGGCAGGAATGCTACGGAGGGAGGGAAGCAGGGCACAAAGAGCTTCTAAACATGTCACCCTGCCTGAGCATCCCTCTCCAACTCCACTCTCCAGGCCTGGGAATTAAGCATCCCCGCTCTCTAGGCACTCGCCTTGTGCCCACGTTCCCCACTTACTAGTGCACTCCTCAGTTGTACTTGGGTCCTGTATCCTCTCCAGAGTCTGCTTCCCACAACCCTGTAACAGTTGAGCACAGATAACCTCAGGTCCTTCTGCTAGCTGATAGATAAGGGACACTGCCACCTCCTTGAAGGGGATCCAGAGTGGGTCTGGGTGGACAAAACCTGTAAGAAATTTAAGGAGTTATCTATTTCTTAAAAGGCCACTTTCCCTCTCTTCACACCTCTGTCTTGGCAACTAACCTTTAATCACCATCTCCCGGAGCCGCTCAAACAATTGGTGGTCTTGGGGCAGCCGGAATGGGGGGTGGCTTTTGCCCAGGCCAGGCTATGGTAAACAAGAGGGTGATTTCTGGATCAGGCAAAATCATCTTTCCTACCCCCAACCCAGGCAGTGTATAGTAACTATCCCACACTCACCTTTTGGCTGTCAGAGATGTTGGCAATGGCCTGGCATACCTGCTGGGCCAGTCGATAATCCTGTTCTACCTTTTCCTCTAGTGCCACACTTACTAGTGTGCCCAGATTGCTGCCAACAATTTCTGGATTTCCTCTGCGGGAGGAAAATGTGGGGGTTAAGGAAGAGTTATATAATAACATATATCCTAAGTGTCTACTGGGGGCTAAACCTGCAGCATACTGGAGCTTCCAATGGACAGAAAGAGTCACTGGGTAAGGCTCTGACCTGGGCACAAGTCTCACAGTTATGACAGCAACACACACAATGCTCAGTTTGCTATTACTAGAAGGCAAAGGAAGGTAACAAGGACCCTTCCCTCAGACTTGGCCTCTTCTCTCAAATCCCACTCCACTGTCTACACATAAGTCCCCTGAGCCTTACTTTGCCATCATTCCAAGTAGCATGACAGAGGAGCAGCGCTCCAGGGGGGAGCAGGGAACCTTCTCAGTAACACGTTCCCACAACAGTTGGGTTACTGCTGGCTTCAGTTCTCCTTTCTGCACAAATTCACACAACTGAAGAAAAGAAAACATAAAGAGGGCTCATCAGGGGATTTCAAAAAACGAAACAAAAATGAAAAAAGGTCCTCTCCCTGCTCCCCCTTTATTTCTCTGAATACTTGGGCATAGAGTGAAGTTTCAAAAGGCAAGGTAGCACCAAGGGCAGGTGCTCTACTTTCTGTAGGAAATGCATAGGAACTTATCAACTATTCATATTTCTAATTAACACCTCCATCATTTAACTCCCAAATCGATGGCCTCGAGCCCTGACTTATTTTTCAAGCCATTCCTATAGTTCCAACTGCAACATGGACATTTTACTAGGATGACTTTTCTGAAAAAAATTTTTGAAAAGAATTTTAAAGTGTTTTATAGTGCCTTTCATTTTACATGTCATTTCCAATACACTGATCCACTGACTCCTCCTTTGTAACAATGAAAAGGTTAAATTAAACCAACCAATAGGGACTGTAGTTGAAAGCACATGCAAGAGCCCATGCCCAGGAGTCCCCTTGATCTCTCCAGAAAGGAGGAAGGTGTGTTTCCTCACCTGTTCTCCTGGACTGAGATCTCTCATTTTAATTAATTAGATTCTAGCTTTAAGTACTGTATTCATTATACAAGAACTATGAGTATTTGAATGCTGATGGGGCCCTTCTTTCTGTCTTTGACCTCCTGGGGCCCATGCCCAACACTGAGATCACTGGGTATTAATAGTTTAGTGCCTTTTCTCAAACAACTTCAGAATACTTCCATAATTCCTCCAACATGACATTTCTTTCTTTTATCATCAGGTACCTTGTTGAATATGAAGGGATAGCATGTCCCAAAATGAACTCCTCTTTATCTCCATTTTTTATTTACTTAATTCAAAGAATCACAAATTCTAAGAACTGGAAGGAACCTCAGAATGGTTTTAGTCCAACCCATATCTGAACAAGACTCTCTTCTACAAACATTCCAAATAACTGGTTATCTAGCATTCGCCTCAAGATGTTCTATGAGGGTGAACCTGCTACTTTTCAAAACAGCCCACTCCATATCAGAACAGCTTTATCTAGTAGAAAATGTTTTCCTTATATTAAGTCTAAATTTGCCTCTTTGCAACTTCCATTTGTTCCTGGATCCACTCTGGGGGCCAGGCCAAACAAATCTGATCCCTCTTCTCCTGACGTTTCACTTGGCACAAAACCTTGGAGTCACCTCTGACTCTTTCTTTTCCATGTTAGTTACCAAGTCTCCCTTCTGATTGACATGTCTATCATTCTTCCCATCCTTATAAGTCAGCATACTGGTCCAGGCCCCTATCATCTCATGTTGGTATTATTGCACTGACCTCTAAATATGCCTCCCTGCCTCCAATTGCTGACCTCTCTCCAATCCACCTTGCATATCTATCAGCCTAATTTTCCTTAAGTAAATAAAAATGGTTGACTTACTCTTTTATGACTACTTTTATTTACTGTTTAGTTAACAATTTGCCCCCTAGTCATAGTGGTAAAAGATCTCTCTCCACTTCTCCTATAATTATTTTATGATAGGATCCTTTATCTTTAAGTCATTGATCCATTTGGAGTTTACTGTGTTATATGTGATGTAAAACATTAGTCTATACCTAATTTCTACAAAACCATGGGAAACAATTTGGAGCTATACCCCAAAAGTCACCAAATTAAACAGAGAAGAATAGCATATACTTTGACTGCGCAATAATACTACGTTTAGGCATATGTAATGCATGGAGATAAAGGATAAAATATAGGCATTTTTATATAAATGTTAGCAATTATTGTGATTATTGTTATTGTTGTTGTAAAATGGGGATAATAAAGCACCTACCTGGTTGGTTCTTCATTTGTAAAGTGAGGGAATTAGATTAGATAGCAAATGTCTCTTTCATGAGTTCTAGCATTCTGTGATTCTAGTTATCTTCATGTTCAAAAATTCCCACCACCTACAGCAATGACAGCTCACATTTCTATGGTACTTTAAAGTTGCCAGCGGGGTAAGGCTATGCCAGTAGACCGTAGGACATTTTTTGGTGGATTTCTAAGCCAGCTGCTGTCACCTTCCCTAAGCCTCCCTTCCTCCCAGTTGATAGAGAGTCCCAATGCGGTAAGAGTAGAACAGCTAACTGGAGTATTCTGTCAGCTTCAACCACCTTGTTGATCTCAAGACTTTAGGGTAACAATGCTTTGCAACAGTTTTGGGACCCCCTGATCTACAGGACAAAATAGGAATAAACTGGGTGTCACATTCAAAGTCCTCTAGAAGCTGGTTCAACTTTGTTGTAACCTTGGGGGCAGCTAAGTGGCGCAGTGGATAGAGCACAGGCCCTGGATTCAGGAGGACCTGAGTTCAAATCCGGCCTCAGATACATAACACTTACTAGCTGTGTGACCCTAACCTACTCACTTAACCCCCATTGCCCAACCAAAAAACAAAAACAAAAATAAAAACAAAAACAAACTCTCTTCTCTTTTTGTAGGGGGTTTAAAGAAAGAATAATGTATTTCTGTTGCATTCCTCACCCTGCCTGACCCAATGTTTGGCACAAAGTGGTAATTCACTAAATACTTGATGAAAAAAAGCTAGAAGATGAGACAAAATATGAAGACACTTACAATTTCTTCCAGACACTGAATTGTCCCAACTGAAGCATCCACCAGGAGCAGAGAGAGGTTTTGAATTAAAATCTGAGCCTTGCCTCTGTGGGATCAGCAGTAAGCAATTTAATTCAGAAATTAATAGTTTATTTACAATTCCTCCACTTTTAACTGTATCCCAGAAAGGTAGGGATTCCTAAAAATATTGCACAATTTGGGTTATGGCCTGATTTGTGAGGTTTCTGGCTCTGAACAGTGGTAAGCTAACACCATTGTCAAATGGTATTTCTGGGAAGTCTATTCTCCCAGTCCTATTATTTACCTTATAATCTATAATCCCAAAGCACTGACTGACTAAAAAATTCCCACAAAAAACCTGATCTCATAAAAATCAGTTAAGAGGGGACAAAGATGGAAAGGGCTCTACATACCTGGCAGAATCTCCTTTGGGGTGGAGGTAGAGCTGGCGGTAGGCATTGAGCACAGCTTCCCTGACACCGGGTTCCTTGGACCACACAAGAGGTAGCATTCGACGTACCCCCAACAGTGCTTGTGGTACTCCAAACTGGTACACCATTACAAAGAACTCAATCACCTCTTGTACCACTGATGAGACAGATAAAAATGGTCATTCCTGCTCAACATATCACTAAAAGGCAGCTGCTTCTTCCTGGTCAAATACAGTTCTGTGGATAGAAATTTCCCACAACAATCCAGTTCCATGTCCCTACCCTATTACAAATAGAATTTATCTGCTGCCAGTTCATGCAGTGATATTATGAGTAAATTAACCTAAAGAGACACAATCTTTACCCTTAAATAAACAATCTATGAAATACTGAGAGGATGGCTGCTTCAACTTTTAAACCCAGGAACGTTAGCTCCTCTTCCCAGAGGGGCCCCAGCATACCAGAAGTGGTGTTTTCATACATCATCTTGCTGATGATACCAATGGCTTCAGTGACTTGCAAAGAAAAGTTGTAGGCATCCTGCAGATACTGTACTAGCATCTCTTGCTTTACTAATTCTTCCTTGTCACTGTTGTTCTCTACCATCCCATGTTTGTCCTCAGGTACAGCATCCACAGAGGCTGTTTTGTCTGGAGAAACCTGTAGATTCTTGTCCTGAGTGGAACTTGTGGGGCCTAGAATTTCACAATATTTCTTATTGGTAGGGCAGCTAGGTGGCGCAGTGGATAGAGCACCAGCCCTGAAGTCAGGAGGACCTGAGTTCAAATCTGGCCTCAGACCAAAACACTTGACACGTACTAGCTGTGTGACCTTGGGCAAGTCACTTAACCCCAACTGCCTCACTTAAAAAAAAAAATTCTTATTGGTAGTGAAATGAATGGTTCTAAAAGCCAGGAAACATCTTTAGGTCTTTCCCCTATTATTAATTTGGACTGAAAGTGGACACACCCCTCCCCGCCTCAAAAAAAAAAATATGGTTCATGGTGGCAGAGTGAATCTTTAAATCTTTCAAGGATTAAAGACTGAAGACTTCACATAGATTTTTAGACTACTGTCATTCTAATGCTACGTGGGCTATGTCGGGAAAGGAAAAAGGAGTATTACCTTTGAAGATCTCTCTTAGCAGATTCAGGATTCTAGTCTCTTCCGAGTCCTCTTGGTTCATATGATTAAAGGGTGCTTCCTCCTGGAAGTGGTGTATAGCTTCTTGGGTGAGAGTGATGGCATGCCTGTAAGAATCCATTTATAGTCAGCAAAACTTAAGAGTAAAGCACCAAGCTGCTCTCTTTTAGCCTGACCCAGTCTCATTACAGCTTTCCTAAAGGGACATTCCCAATTCCAACAAATCTCCAAAATTGCTGTCCCCAAAGGATAGGGATACTTCTATTAAAAAGATGAGGGTTGCCTGACATGTATAGGTATTCCCAATAACTTTTTGTCCTTTTTTTTTTAACCACTTGGGGTTAAGTGACTTGCCCAGGATCACACAGCTAGTAAGTGTCAAGTGTTTGGTCTGCCGGATTTGAGCTCAGCTCCTCCTGACTTCAGGGCCGGTGCTCTATCCACTGCGCCACCTAGCTGTCCCCCATATTTTCAAAAGACACAAATTTCTATCAAATTCTCCAGGAACTCGAAACAGATTAGTAATATAAAGCAACCAATGCCTTAGATCCAAAAATCTAATCCTTTCACCAAAAGCCACCTTAAATCTGTTTTAAAACATTTTAAATACTGTTTATGAAAATGGTAGGTTGCCAGCTGCCAAGAGAAGTGCTATCATATTTAAATTTCAAGAAATAGCCAATCCAGGAAAGATTTCTGTTGGAAAGGGCCAATTTTTATTCTTCTCCTTCTTTAAAAAGAAGAGATCTGAACCACTAATAATGAAAGAAATATAAATCAAAAGAACTCTTGAGTTTTCACTTCATACAGAGAAAATTGGCAGAGATGACAAAAGGTAAGAATGATCAATGTTCATAGAAGGAATTGTGGAATAATAGGTGCATTAATATATAGTTTGTAGAACTATGAATTGATTCAAGTATTCTAGGAAAGAATCTGGAATTATGCTAAAAAAGTAACTGAAATGTCCATACCTTTTAAAAGACCTACAGGCTCCACTGCTAAGCATATACCCAAAAAAGGTCAAAGACAGAAAGAAAGGTCCCATATTTTCCAGAATATTTAGAGCAACATTTTTTGTAGCAGAAAAGAACTGGAAACTAAGTAAATGTTCATCAACTGGGAAATGGCTAAGCAAATTTTGGCACATGAACGCAATAACTTTTACAAACTGATGATATAAAATTAAATAAGCAGAACAACGAAAGCAATATATACAATAACTGTAACAATGTAAAAAACAACTAAAATAGTAGCTTTGAATCAGTTCAACCACTCCAGAGAAAAATTTGGATATATGTCCAAAGAGCTAAAAAACTGTGCAGACCCTTTGACCCAGCAATACCATTACCAGGTCTATATCCCAGTAAGATTTAAAAAAAAAAAAAAAAGGAAAAGGACCTATATGTACAAGAATATTTATAGTAGCTCTTTTTGAGGTGGCAAAGAATTGGAAATGGAGGGGATGGCCATCAACTGGAGAATGGCTAACCAAGTTGTGGTACATGATTTTGACGGAACACTACTGTGTAAGAAATAATGAGCAGGATGGTTTTAGAAAAACTTGGAAAGACTTATATGAACTTATGCAAAGTGAAATGAGCAGAAATAGGAGAATATTATACAAAGTAATAGCAATATCATAAAAATGATCAACTGTGAAAGACTTAGATACTCTGATCAAGACAACGATCCAAGATAATTCCAGAGGACCCATGACGAAAAATGATATCCACCTCCACAGAGAGAAAACTGATAAGCTCTAAATGCAGATTGAAGCAAAACTTTATTTTTGTCTTATTTTTTTGTCTGTGTTTTCTTTTGCAACATGGCTAATATGGAAATGTTTTGCATGACTTCAAATGTATAATTGATATAAAATTGTTTGCCTTCTCAAGGAGGGGGAAGGGGCAGGAGAAAGGGAAAGACTTTGAAACTCGAAATGTTAAAAAATGATTGCTAAAATTTTTTTACATGTAATTGGGAAATATTTAACTAAATATATTTTAACTATAAATATATTTTTAAAAAAGGACTAAAACAACCAAAACAAAATGCTATCTAATTAAAATGATCAAGCTTGGCTCCCTAAGAGATATGAGAATAAAGACCTATTACCTCCATTCTTTGCAGAGCCAGTCAACAAACATTTATGAAATGCCTACTATGTGCCAGGAACTGTGCCAAGCACTAGGGATATAAAGAAAGGCAAAAACAGACTCTGCCCTCAAGGAGTAGATAATCTAATGGGGGAAACAAAATGTAAATAATTAAGTACATACAAGATAAATCCAGAATCATTAGAAGGTAATCTGAGAGAAGAATGTAGCAACTCAGGGGAACTGAAATGGCCTCTTTCAGAATGTAAGACTAACTGAGTCTTGAAGGAAGCCAGGGTGATCACTTAACTTGTTTGGGCTTCAGTGTCCTTTTCTCTGTCCCTCACTTCAGGAAATTATATATATCACTAATACTTCTCTATCCCAAGGAGATCAGTGAAGGAGAAGACCACGGGTACAAAAATACTCATAGCACCTTTATTTGTTGTGGCAAAAAACTAAAAACTCAAGGGTGCCCATCAACTGGAGAATAGCTGAATGATCCACTGTATACAGAGTATTGGACACCTCATATGAATGTAATGATTATTAAGCCTTAAGAAACAGTCAAGGGATGGTTTCAAGGAAACCTAGGCAGACCTATATGAACTATTACAGAGTGAAGTACAGAACCAAAAACATTGTAAAGATAAACAATTTTGAAAGAAGAAAATTGATCAAAGAAATGATCATCCATGACTCCAGAGGAATGACAATGAAAAATATGCCCACCTCCTGACAGAGAAGTGATGATTTCAAGGAACAGAATGAGACATGTATTTTGGGACATCCTTAAAGTTGGGATTTATTTTGTTTGATGATGTATATTTTACAAGGATTTTGTTTTCTCCCTTTCCCTCCCAAATTTTGGGGAGAGAAGTAGACTATTAATAGCACTGTCAAATGGGAAAAAAAGTCAGTGAAGCACTTAAAAATGTACTGAAGAGAAGGAAATTCAGAAGGGAACATATGAAGACAGCTTTGAAAGTAAGATATTCAACTTTTTATATACTTAAAAGGAAAAGGAAATTGTATATATAAAAGATTCAGGGTTTTATGAACCCTCATTTTATGCTATAATCTGTATAAGAAAATGATCAGTTTTTTTTTTTAGATATAAAATAAAAATAAGAGGGTCAAACTAGATGACCCTCCAGAGGTCAACTCCAGCTCTAAAACTGAGGTTCTATGATTCCTCATCCTCATAAATAATCTTTGTGATCCAAAGACAGAGTCTTGCAGGATACCATGCTTATGTTAAGAGACTAATAGTACAATAATAAAGTCAACTGAAAAGTAGCAGTAAGACAGGAATAGTAGCAAAAAGAGAATATGGTCATGAAAGCTAAGGAAAGAGAGTATCCAGTAGGAAGAAGGGAGTAGTCAGTGTATCAAAGTCTGCAGAGAGAGATTAAGAGGATGACAACCGAGAAAAGGCTATAGGATTTATGTTATGAGATCACTGATGACCGTCGCAACCTCCAGGCACTCCATCCCTTCCATTTATTTTTTCCTAATCCATCACTGACGATCTATGATAGACTTGATTCAAAGACAGAGTGACCAGAAGAAGGCATTTATTTTGTTTCTTGCAAGAAGCAGGTGTGCTGCTCCCAAAGGGCATACACGGATACAGAAGCAAGAGCAAGGTCTTAAACCTTAAAGTGTATCAGATAAGTTAATACCTTAAGGTGTGTCAGATAAGCTAATTAAGCACGCGCAGATGCAAGAACAGCAGTTAGTTATTTGTCAATACTTGTAGTTAAAGAGTACCTGCTAATCAGGATATACTAATCCACAGTATCCTGTTTTTACATTAACTTCTGTGGAAACTGAAAATTTCACAAACATCTTCTTTTCACAGTCTAGCTTTACTTTTCTCTCTTTACAAACAGCATACCCTACCCCGGACTCTCCTATCCCCTCATCTTACTGATCTTGATGCCCTGTCATACCTCAAACCTACTGATTCCTTCTCTACTCCTCATGTGCAGTGCTGAACACAGAGTCATTTTGATTGATTTCACTACAAATTTATGTTATGTAATCTCAGTTGGGCCTTGAATGATGCATGGCAATCTTATTTTTTTTTTAATTCTAATTAATTAATTAATTTTGACCCAGTTACATGTAAAAAAATTTTAAACATTCATTTGTAAAACTGAATTCCAAATTCTCTCCCCTGCTCCCTCCCACCCCTCCTCATTGAGAAGGCAAGCAGTTCAATAGAGGTTATACATTCAGAGTCATGCAAGACATATGGTAATCTTATTATTCTTGTCTAATCAACTCTTACATGTCCTACAATTGTTCCAAACCTCCTCTCTCCTCAAACCTTTCCCTAAGCTATCCCTATCTTCCCCCTTCAGCTTGCCTTGCCTCTTCCTTCTTCTTCCTTTTTTTTGTTTTTTTTTTGTTTTTTGGTGAGGCAATCAGGGTTAAGTGATGCGCCCAGAGTCACACAGCCAGTGTCAAGTGTCTGAGGCCGGATTTGAACTTGGTCCTCCTGACTCGAAGGCCGGCGCTCTATCCACTGCACCACCTACCTGCCCCCTTGCCTCCTTCTGTACCAAGCAAAGAAACTATTTTATCAGTTTCCTCATCTCCTCTACTTTCATACCACAAAATCCTTGCACATTTTCATTAATGCTCTCCTTTGCTCCAGTCTTTAAAATAGCCCTTCTCTTTGCTGAAGCAACCTCTCTAAGAATGTCCTTCATCTATTCTTGGAATTTGTTCCATCAGTAGCTCCCTCCCTCTCCAGTGGGTTCTGTCCTACCCAGAGGCCTATAAACATGTTCATAAGTGGTCTATTCATTTTAAAACAAAACAGAACCTTCACTTGACCCTACCATTCATTCTGTCAAGCTATTGTCCTGCATGGCTATCCCTCCTTTCACAGCAAGATTCATCTTTAAAAAAAAAAATTCTGTTCAACAGACAGTACAGAAGGACAGTTATCTGGGCCCAGAGTTGAACAGAAGGACAAGAGTAGTCTATATTGCTTTTGGGAGACTTGAAAACTCTTTTACTGATTTAAAGCTTCCCATGAAAGCAAATGCCCATTTTTAATGCTAAAAGTGTGGCTATATGGCAGTGAGACATGGAACACCACTGCCTCTGAAGAGCTAATGATGAGTATTACAAAGAAGTCAATGGAGAAGGACAAGGTGAGCGTAAAAATAACTAAAAACAAACTCAGGACAGAAGTAAAGGACATCATTGAGGAAGTGTAGGACAAGAAGAGTGGACAAGAAGAGTGGATGAGCTATTACATGGCAAGTGAGGGATAATAGGTAGAGGGCCAGAGCACTCCTCAGGTAGGTACCCTTTGGATGTTGAAAGCAAGGAAGACCTTCAGGAAATGGGTAGCAGACACCCTGAGGCAAATTTTTGGGAAAATATAGAGAAGAGGAATAGAGGATGGGTAGACATACATGGATTACAGTCTGCATCATCTGAGGGCACTCTTGCATTAATGAGATGACAGATCACATAACATCCCTTAACCCACTCCATGTTTAAGCCCAACTGAAATTTTATGACATTCCCTAAACAGGACATTCTATCTCCACGTGCATGGCACAGAACTATCCCTTACAGCTAGGATGCAATCCTTCTCTCCTTCCGAAGATCTTTCTTTCCCCACTGGGCTCAGTTCAGATTCCACCGAGTTTGGGGTGGAACACTCCCTGACACCACTCCTTTGGCCATGTTCAGTATTCTCTCTCCTGTCGAGAACCTTCCATTTATTTTTCTGCATATGCAGGTGTCTCTCCAAGAGAATGCAAGTAGCACGAGGGCAGAAGCTGTTTAATTTTTGAGTCTGTTTCCCCAATACCTAGTACACAGTATTGAATGGAGAAGGAAATGAAAAAATACTTACTCTGATTAGGAAGAAAAAGAGCAGTGGTAACAGCTGTGGCAATGAATGAGTTCATGGGTAGATGGATTAGCCTAAGTGAGATGTAGGGAAACTGCTATAATCAAAAAGAAGTAGACTAGGGACTACCAAAGCAGAGAAGTTTGGGGAAAAGGAGGAAAAGACCTGAGAATGGTCTCAATCTTCTCACTGAAGTAAAAAGCTAAATCAGGGGTGGGGAACCTGCAGCCTCAAGGCCACACATGGCCTTCTAGGTCCTTAGACAGGACCGTTAGACCGAATCCAAGGTTTATAGAACAAATCCTTTTATTAAGGGGATTTGTTCTGTGAAGTTTGTATTCAGTCAAAGGGCCACACTTGAGGACCTAGAGGCCTTGAGGCCTCAGGTTCCCCAACTCTGGGCTAAATTGTCTTTTGTAAGTATAGATAATAAAAATCTAGTTCAAGTCTATAAGAGAAAAAAAAGTTAGATGAGTCACTTTGGGGAATGAGACAGATAATAAAAAAAAGTACAAAACAATGTAGTGGAAAAGCACTTAGAATGTGGGATAAGTTCAAAGGAGTGGTCCAGGCAAAGTGCTGTGAGATTTGAAGAGACGGAGGTCACTTTCAGCTGGGAGAATTGGGACAGGGCATTCACTGAGCAGGAAGCACATGACACAGAGAGATTGCAGTGAGAGGAGGATGGGGTGGGACAGAGAAAGAAGAATCCATTCCAGATATGGAAAATAGTGGGGAAAAAAAGGTACGGGGCTGGACAGCTACTATAAATGAAGAGCCACTTGACTAGAATATTAAGGTGAGGGAAGTTATTAGATAAATACTGTAAAGACAGCTAGTTTAGGGGCATGGATAGTTTGAAAGGCAGTATCAAGAGACTCTATTTTACTTGCTAGGGAGCAACTAAAGGCATTTTAATAGAATGATGTGATCAAACTGATACATGAAAATTTCCTGGGAAGCAGTACAGAGGTTTGGAGCACACATAGCCCAAAGTAAAGACAACCACTAAAAAAGCTATTACATGACTCTAGGCAAGAGATAACAAGGGCCAAACATAAAGTGACTCTATGGGAGAGGAAAAGAGGAGGAAGATGCAATACTGCCAAGGTAAAAGTAAGAGAACCTGGCTATAAAGTAGATTTGAGGGTTATGGGAAAGGAAGAAGTCAAAGATACTCTGAAATTTTGAGCCTGAGTGATTGGAAAGATGGTATTGTGCAATGAGTTGAGGGAAAGATAGGTTTTTTTGTGGGAATAAGGAGCTCAGTTTGGGGCATCTTAAATTTGAGATGTTGGCAGGACATCTACGTTTATATATCCAGCAGTTGGGAGACATGAGAATGGAGTTCTAGGGAAAAGTTAGTAGGATGGAGAGAGAAATTTGGGATCCATCTGCGGCAGATCCATAACTGAAGCCAAGGAAATGTATGAGATCACAAAATGAAGGTCCAGGACAAAAACTTAAGGGACAAGAAGATAAATACAGCAAAGAGACAGAAAGGGAGTTATCAGAGAAGTAGAAGAAACACAAGAGTGCTGTGTCACAGAAACCAAGAGGAAAGAAGATGTCAAAAAGGGGGAAGAAATGGTCAAAAGGGTTTACATAAAGTTCAAAGAGGATGAGGAAAACTCCAATGGATTTAGTAATAAGATGTCACTTAGTAGAGAACCATTTTAGTCAAATGATGGAGACACCAGGCAGAAAGGGGTTAAATGTGGATGAAGAGGACAAGTATAGACCATGTTTTCTTTGTGTGGCAGAGAAAGACAGAAAAGAGAAGGAGGGGACAAAAGTTGGAGGGGATAGCAAAGTCAAGTAAAGATATCAGTAAAATAATAGTCAGAAGGTACCAAACTATTAACTGGGTACTTAGACTGTTTTCACCTTATTATCTTTAAATTTAATATAAGTCATTTGAATTTATTTTAACCATATTTAAAGAGAAAAGGACAAAAAAGGTATACTTATCTCAATCTCAGACAAAACTATGTTTACCAAAGGCAATAAGCACATACCTTTTAGATTCAGGTCACCTGGCCATGATGAAAGCACTAGAATCATACCCTAACTTCAGTTTCTGTTCAAACCTCATCAAAGTTGAAACTATAATCCTAAACAAGTCAATGGCAGACGTTATCCTCTCCTACTTACTTATAACTGGCCTTGACAAGAAGCTGTTGGATGTGCTTTGCCACCTCTTCAGCTGTTTCTGTATCACCAAGGTTTTCTCCTTCCTTTCCATCTCTTTCTGGCAGCTTCAGGAGTTGCTGCAAGGTGGACTGAAGCTCTGGCAACATGGCTTCCCACTCCTCCTCAAGGTCTGGCACCACACCTAAGGAAAGAGACTTATTTAATTTGACTTCCAACCTGTATTTGTGCTGGTGCAATAAAAGGGTTTTCTGGGTTAGAGCTCACAGGGCGCTGTAGCTCGCCGCTTGGCTCTCATTTCCTGCAACTTCTGAGCCTCCTTCTGAAGTGGTCGGGACAGGTCAGCATCACTTAGCTATGCAAACAGAATGGATATCAGGAGTTCCTAAGGGCATCTAATCCCAACTCTTATCTTTATAATCTTTTTCTCCTGGGCAGAGAAGCTGCTTACCTTACACGAATAGGGGTTGTTGGCCAAGAAGGTGGCCAGCAGCTGGATAGCATTTTTACTCACTAACACTGATTTGTCAGCCAGTCGCCCTACTGCAAGGGTCACCACTGCCTGGAAGCGTGTCAAGGGAAGAGCCTACATGGAGAACAAGGGAAGTGTCAACTCAAACACAGTACCCATCTAAGGCACAGAGTACTTGATATTTCTTTTCTTTCTTTCTTTCTTTTTTTTTTACAGAAAGGGCCACATTTTAATTTATTTATTTATTTGCCTTTTTTTTTTTGGTGAGGCAACTGGGGTTAAGTGACTTGCCTAGGGTCACACAGCTAGTAAGTATCATGTGTCTGAGGCCAGATTTGAACTCAGGTCTTCCTGACTCCAAGGTTGGAGCTCTATCCACTGCGCCACCTAGCTGCCCCTAATACTTGATATTTCTGATCTGATTGGGTCACTCTTTTATTTCTAGGAGCATCAAGAAATTAATATAGGATAGCTAAGGGAAGTGTTGTTCTTGCTTGATCAAAAAGGTCACTAATGTCCTTAAGAGTTGCTTTGACATAAGGGTTAAGAATCTCAAAACTTTGTACAGGATAACCTTTGTTACTACCTAAGTAGTAGTAAAGGCCTAACTTAATAGGAACACATGGGGAAAAACCTCTTAACCCTCCTTTGGAGTGGAGGAATAAGCTTTACATTCTGAACACTTCCTTCAGCCTTGATAATCAGATGCTGTCTAGAGGGCCTGGGGCTATCCTTGATACGGGGCCTCACCTTCTGCTGGACTATTCGAGTAAAAAGTTGCAACACACGGCTTCGCACAAAAGAGTTAACATCATGACTGTGGGCCTGCAAGGTGTCCAAGAATTGATCCCGAGTGCCCCGGGCTGCCTCTTCCAGCTGATCCCCATTCAGCACCTGCAGCACCATTTCTGTCATAGCTGCAAGAACTGCATTGCGCATCATGTAGTTCTAGTAGAAAGAGAGAAATGCACATTAAAGGCCTCTAAGCAAAAGCTGAGGCAGACAGGAGCAATAACAGACTTAAAACAGTTTTTAGTGATAAATTATTTTAACTTCCATGCAATACATAATCATTCAAATACAGGGTTTCCCAAAAGACTCAGTACAGTTTTAAGATATGAAAGTTTAAAAGGAAGCACATGACATGGCCAGTTTTCAGCGGAAAGAAGTGAGGGTGGAACAGTTTTACGCAATTAGAGATTACCACTGCACTAAGACTTTTGGAATATTAAAAGTTTCATATAGGAACAAGAACCTAAAAAAACCAGCACAAACTAAATCAAGCCAAAAAACCCTGAAAATAATTATGCTGCAAATTATTATGTATATGTACATATATATAAAACCATAAAATCTCCTGTTTTTTTTTATTATAAAGAGATCCAAATTACCAGAACATGAAGCAGAGATCTTATACAATCCAATTTTAGAAAATGAAACTGAGGAGGTGGAGCCAAGATAGTAAAGTAAGAGCAGAAACTCACCTGACCTTTCTCAAATTCCCCTCCAAACAACTTAAAAATAATGCCTTAAAATGAATTCTAGAGCAGCAAAATCAACAAAAGGATGAATGTGAAACAGTATTCCAGCTTAAGACAACTTGGAAGATTGACAAGAAAAGTCTGTCTCACTGGGATAAGAAAGGAATGCAGTCCAGCACACTGTACTAGTGGGGGACCTCAACCTTCCCCTCTTAGAACTAGATAAATCTAACCAAAAAATGAGTAAGAAAGAAATTAAGGAGATGAACAGAATTTTAGAAAAATTAGATATGATAGACCTTTGGAGAAAGCTGAAAGGGAATAAAAAGGATTATACCTTCTTCTTAATGGTATATGGCAGCTACACAAAAGCTGACCATGTATTGGGACATAAGAACCTCACAAGCAAATGCAAAAAAGCAGAAATATTAAATGCATCCTATTCAGATCTTAATGCAATAAAAATGACACTTAATAAAGGGCTGTGGATGCATAATTGAAAATTAATTGGAAAGTTATCTAATCCGAAAGAAATGAGTGAGTCAAAGAACAAATCACAGAAACAGTCAATAATTTCATTAAAGAGAATGAAAACAAACCAAAATTTATGGAATGCTGCCAAAGTAGTACTTAATTGAAAATTTATATCTCTAAATGCTTATATCACTGAAATGGAGAAAGAATGGATCAATGAATTGAGCATGCAACTAAAAACATGAGAAAGAGAACAAATTAAAAATCCCCAATCAAACATCAAATTGAAAATCTTGAAAATCAAAAGAGAGATTAATAAAATTGAAAATAAGAAAACCATTGAACTAATAAATAAAATTAGGAGCTGGTTTTACGAGGACAAACCCCCCCCCAATAAAATACATAAACCACTGGTTAATTTGATTAAAAAAAGAAGAAAACCAAACTGCCAGTATCAAAAATGAAAAGAGTGAACTTGCCACCAATGAAAAGGAAATTAAGGCAATTATTAGGAGCTATCTTGCAAAACTATCTACCAACAAATCAGACAACCTAAGTTAAATGAATGAATATTTACAAAAATATAAGTTAGCTAGATTAACAGAAGAGGAAGAATACATAACCCTCTTTCAGAAAAGATATTGAACAAGTCATCAGTGAGGTCCCTAAGAAAAAATCTCCAGGACCTGATGCATTCACAAGTGAATTATACCAAACATTTGAATAACTCAATAGTATACAAAGAATCTCAATAGCATACAAAGTATCTCAATAGTATACAAACTATTTGGAAAAAGAGGTGAAGGAGTCCTATTAAAATTCCTTTTATGACACAAATATGGTGCTGATACCTAAATCAGGAAGAGTGAAAAAAGAAAGAAAACTGTAGACTGATTTCCCTAATATGCATATTGATGCAAAAATTTTAAATAAAATATTATTTAAACAAAGCACAGCAATACAGCACAAGGATAAGACACTGTGACTAGGTGGAATTTATTCTAGGAATGTAGGATTGGTTCAGTATTAGGAAAACTATCAGCATAATTGACCATATCAATAACCAAACCAACAAAAATCATATGATTATCTCAATAGATGCAGAAAAAGCTTGTGTCAAAATACAACATTAATTCCTATTAAAAATCTAGAAAATATAGGACTAAATGGAGCTTTCCTTAAAATGATAAGTAGTCTTTATCTAAAATGAACAGCAAGTATTGGGGATGAGCTAGAAGTCTATCCAATAAGATAGGGGTAATGCAAGGATGTCCACTCTCATCACTATTATTCAATATTGTACTAAAAATACTAGCTATAGCAATAAGACAAGAAAAAGAAATTGAAGAAATAAATATACACAATGAGGAAACAAAACAATCGCTGTAGATGCTATGATGATATACTTGGAGAAGCCCAGAGAGTTAACTAAAAAACTAGTTGAAATAATTAACAACTTTAGCAAAGTCAGAGGATATAAAATAAGCCTATATAAATCATCAACATTTCAATATATTATCAATAAAATTCATCAGCAAGAGATACAAAAAGAAATTCCATTTAAAATAATTGTAGAAAATACACAATACTTAGGAGTCTCTCTACTCGCCAAGACAAAAAGTGGAACTATATAAACACAATTACAAAACACTTTCCACACAAACAAAATCAGATCTAAACAATAGGAAAAATATTAATTGCTCATGGGTAGGCAGAGCCAATATAAGAAAAGCAACAATTGGTGGAAGCTAGGCAGCACAGTGGATAGAGTACCGGCTCTGGAGTCAGGAGGACCTGAGTTCAAATCCAGCCTCAGACGCTTGATACTTACTAGCTGTGTGACCCTGGGCAAGTCATTTAACCTCATTGCCTAAGGCCCCCTCCTCCCAAAATTCTACCTAAATTAATTTGCATATTCAGTGTCATACCAATTAAACCACCAAAAAAGTATTTTATAGAGCAAGAAAAAGTAATAACAAAATCCATATGGAAGAAAAAAAGGTCAAGAATATCAAGGGAATTAATGAAAAAAATGTGAAGGAAGGTGGCCAGCTACACCAGCTCTCAAACTGTGTTTTAAAGTGGTAATCATCAAAACAAGCTGGTATTGGCTAAGAAAAAAAAATAATGGATCAGTAGAATAAATAACATACACAACACACAGTAGGAGACAACCATAGTAATCTTGTGTTTGATAAATGCAAAGATCCAGACTTTTGGGACAAGAATTAACTATTTGACAAAAACTCCTGGGAAAACTGTAAAGTAGTTTGACAGAAATTAGGAAGAGACCAACATTTCATACCGCATATTAAGAAAAGGTCAAGGGGCAGCTAGGTGGTGCAGTGGATAGAGCACTGAAGTCAGGAGGACCTGGGTTCAAATCCGGCCTCAGACCAAACACTTGACACGTACTAGCTGTGTGACCTTGGGCAAGTCACTTGACACCAACTGCCTCACCAAAAAAAAAAAAAAAAAAAAGAAAAAAAAAGAAAAGGTCAAAATAGGTACAGTATTTAGATATAAAAAGTGACACCATAAGCAAATTAGGGGAGCATGGAATAGTTTGTCTGTAAGATTTATGGAAAGGGAAGGATTTAGTATCAAGCAAGAGACAGAGAACATTATAAGATGTAAAATGGATAATTTTGATTATATTAAATTAAAAAGTTTTTGTACAAACAAAATAATTTAGATTAGAAGGAAAGCAGAAAATTGGGAATATTTTTTACAAGAAGCACCTCACCTCTCAAACTTACAGAGAAGTAAGTAAAACTTATAAGAATGAGTCATTCCCCAACTGATAAAAGGACATGAATAAGCAGTTTTCAAATGAAGAAATTAAAGCTATGAAAAAATGCTCTAAATCACTATTGATTAGAGAAATGCAACTCTGAGGTACCATCTCACACCTATTAGATTGGCTAATATGACACAAAAGGAAAATGACAAATAGAAAGAATGTAGGGAAAACTGGAGACTAATACACTGTTGGTGATAATACAGCAGTGAGATGATTCAACTACCCTAAATAGTAATTTAGAACTATGTCCAAAGGACTATAAAGCTGTACATACACCTTTGACCCCACAATAGCACTAGAGATCAAAGAAAAGGGAAAAGAACAAATGTACAAAAACATTTATAGCAGCTTTATGGTGCACCGGCCCTGAAGTCAGGAGGACCTGAGTTCAAATCTGGCCTCAGACCAAACACTTGACACTTCCTAGCTGTGTGACCCTGGGCAAGTCATTTAACCCCAACTGCCTTAAAAAAAAATTTTTTTTTACACATAATTGGGAAAAATAAAATGTTAAAATTTTTTAAAAAATGCATGAAGGTAATGAAACAAAAGAAGATGAAACTGAACTAGCTATAAAAGAACTACCAAAGGGAAAAACTCCCAAGTCAGATGCATTTACAAGTGAAAAATATCTACATATAAGACAAATTATTCTTTAAAACGGAGGGAAAACAACACTCTACCAAATGTCTTTTATAAGTAAATGCTGGCACCCACCCCATCCCCTTTTTCCTCCACCAAAGTTTAGAAAAGACAGACCCTTGATACCAGTGATGAAACTTATGGAACTTGGGTGTGTTGTGAGGTAGTATGGAACAATTCCTGAATGAATTAAGGTAGAATGAAATATAAGGAGAAGAAAGAATAGATTATGGATCTGTTTAGTGGACATTGGGTAGAAATGTAACACTGAGTAAAAGGAAAAGGATACTTACATGTTGATTATCTGAGACAGTTGTATTGGGTATATGGGGAATGGGTTGGTTCGAGGGCCAGGAAGAGGAAAACAATCCTTCAATCCTTACACGTTTAACAAGCAAGAGAGGCTACAGGCCCTGGGTCCTATATAAATATCTGACTGCATAATTCTGATCCTCAGTAGTCTCCACACACAGAGGAAAAGACAACTCTTGGGGAAAGGCAGACATGGATGTGAGCATAATTAAGAGCATGTAGAAAATGCTTGTGATTAAATATTTGTTGGTGTCCCTTTTTGTGGAACCAAAAAATATAAAAAAAGCAGGTGGCCATTGACTGTGATACATGAATGCTGGAATATTACATTCTAAGAAATGACAAACATGAGGAATTCAGAGACTTATGTGGATTGATGCAGATTTAAGTGAGATCAATATATATAATGACTACAATAACATAAATGAAAACCTCATTGAAAAGGAAGATGATGAGTTCAAAGGCCACCTCAGACACTTGACACTTACCAGCTGTGTGACCCTGGGCAAGTCACTTAACCCTGATTGCTCCCCCCCCCCCCAAAAAAGGGCAGCTGAAAACAGATCAGTTGCAATGACCAACCTTGGGCCTTAAGAACAGATGATGAAACATATTTTCTGCCTCTGGGTAAAGATGGAGGACTAAAAGAGCAGAATGTCACATATGTCATCAGAATCCATTGGCTGGTTTTGCTTTACTATTTTTCTGTATCACAAGGGAAAGTTCATGGATGATTTTGATGTCAAGAAAAAAAGGCACCAGGACAACATTAAAAACAATACAATACTTGTGTATGGTAGTGGGATGGGTGTTACATCAAAATCACATTTTCAATCAGGCATGGTCATTTAGCTTAGTCTTGACTTCTACATAGCAATGCAGTGCACAACCTTCCTAACTGATCATGGTATAAAACTGAACCTTAGATAGGCACTAAATTTTCAGAAAGGAGTGTGGGGAAGAGCTGAACTGATGGTGCAAATATCAATGTTCTTTGTTGTCAAGATCACACATTCAATTTAACAAACATTTCAAAACATACATCAGGTAACCACACTAGTAAATGGTCATTAAATCATAGGATGCCATAGAGTAGGAACCCAAACAACTGCTTCTTTCTCCTTCTTACAGATGGCAAACTCACCTCCTATTTCCTTCATCTGAGTGATTCAGCCCCTTTCCCCTGCTACCCCTCCCCATGCTGTTGTCCCTATCTGGCTTACTTTTATCAATCCCTCCTCCCTTTTCTTCCAATATCCTACCTTTCCACTGGGACCTCAAGAACCCTCACTCTGTTATCAATAAACTTCCCTTTATTCTAAATCTCTTTTTGTACTCATGGAAACATGTTTTTGACCTTAAGACACAGAATTAATGACCACCTCCTCTAGTCCTTGGTTGCTCCTTCTCTCAGGTCAGTGTGTATAATTTTACTTTGGTTAAGATGAAAGGGCAAGAGCAAACCCACATCTCTTCTACTCTCTATATCCCCAGAAAGAACCTAAAAAGAAGCCCTGTACCTGCTTGTTTTTATTAGAGATCTTAGTTCCTCTATTAAACTAGCCTATTCCAAAGTGTGAGGAAAGCAAAATTGTTAGTAAAACAAGCCTCTAAACAAGGAGATCTAACAAGAGACAAACTGATTCCCAGAAGTATTTTATCAATAGAGTGGAACAAATCTCAACCCCAATACTTACTACCTCCATGACCATAACCAAGTCACTTAACCTCCCTTGACCTCAGCCTCCACATTTGCAAAATGAGGAGACTGTACTAGTCTTTGAGGTCCCTTCTAATGCCAGGTCAATAATCTTGTTAATTTCTTGTAAGCATATATGCTTTATCATATGTATGATTTTATTCAGAAACTCAGCTGTACTTGAATAGGAACACAGACACAGAGACACACGCAATTTGTGTTGTTTTTACTTTAAAAATGTCCCAGTTATTTCTTGTTTCTCACTGACCTTGCATTCTTAAGGTTCCTCCTGTCCCTACTGTTGGCAAAAAAAAAAAAAAAAAAAAAGCACAAAAACAAACCAACCCCCCCCCAAAAAACCCAAACAAACAAAAAAACCCCTCAAAACTGTAAAGTCACCACATTGGTGACTTTACCTGAAGTGAGGTAATTAGCTGAAACCAGCCAACTTTATCAACCATCTGAAAATTCTCTCTTCCCATTCTGGGACTACATCTAGGGCAGATAAGAATAACTCTTCAAAGACCTGGCCCCAAATTCGTTCACAAGTTAAAATTTAAGTTTGGCTGCTGACTCTATGAGCTCTGTGGTGGATACATGTATATATATACATCTTTAAAATAGTTGTCTGTGTAGGGGGGTGGTAGTTTTGATCAGAGCATCACAGCCTACTAAGAGAGTAAGATTCCTTTCTGCATATCCAGAAGGACCAAAGCTCTCCTCAAGGTTACTGTGTTGTTTTTGAATATACACCCCAACTGTTGGTATGGAGTACTGGTAGATAACAGCATCCACCATGGGCAGCATCCACCGTGGGCACACAGTCAGACACTGAGGCCTTGTGGAATAGACCACAGATGGGAGTGTGTGTGGGCCCTAATAAGCAGCTATGCTCCTCATCTTGCCATGAGACCAAGAGCCAACTTACAACACCCCAACATTTCATCCCAAAATCTCAGTTTCAGTACATATGTACATGTTGAACATGAGTTGTCTTTCATTTTGCTTGTGAGGCCACCAACTTCCCAGAAAAGAAAGCTTTTGCAGCTAAGGGGTGACAACCAACAAGTCTTGCAAGCCCAGTTCAGACCCCCATCTGTAGCCTTCTTGCATCTGCATTAAGCCCTCCCCATGCCTGGAATGCACCTTGTAAGGGCTGGCACAAACAGTATTTGTCATTAACGCTACAGTCACCTCCTGGCCCTCACCCCACCTCCTAGCACAGCTCTCTCTTGCCTCAGTACACCTGGGCTATCCTCTGGTGGATGCTGTGATCTTCCCAATAATTTCCAACAATGTAAGCTTGTGGAGGATGGAGACTATTCTGGGTTTGATATCTGGGGCCTACTACAAAGGCTCACATATGTCAGGACTTAATTTTTGTTTGTTGAATTGAACACACATCTGAAAGATATAATTACAAATTACAAATAAGAATTATGCTAGTACCAACTATTACTCAGTCCACCTCTCATGGGGGTCTAACATTCTTTATAAAGAATGCTAGGTGGCTCAGTTGATAGAGCACCAGCCCTGAGTTCAAACTCAGCCTCAAACACTTGATACTCACTAGCTATGTGACCCTGGGCAAGTCACTTAGCCCCAACTGCCTCACAAAAAAAAAAAAAAAAAAAAGAATTATCCTCATTTTACTGACAAGGAAACAGAGACAGATGTATGACCTGTCTTAGTTCCTGAAGCAAATTTGTGACTGGGTTTGGTGGTAACCAGGAATCTGGTGTCAGGGCCGTGGTTCTTGACCTGAGATCTATGAACTTCTAACAAGAATTCTGTTAACTGTATTTCAATATAACTGGTTTTCTTTGTAATGCTATGGATTTTATTTTATGCTTTTAAGAACATGATTCTGAGAAAAGGTTCATAAGATTCACCAGAGTGCCGAAGGTCCATGACACAAAAAAGGTTAAGAATCTCTGGTTAGGACTTTTCTTGGTTATTATACAGTAAGCTACAGAATGAAAATTTGTTTGTATGATTTCATATTTATAATGGGACCTGGTTTTTTTTGCATTCTCAAAGGGAGGGGCTAGGAGGAGGGACAGAATGTGGAACTGAACAGCAAGTGGGTGATCTGAAAAAGCTCACTGTTTGGAGGAAACTAGGCAGGCCAGATGGCAGTAAGAAGCCTCAGTCTCAGGAAGGAATGGGATTCAGAGCCAGAGCTGAGTCATTTTGCTGAACGAGAATTGCTATCTCCCAGGACCCTCAACCCCCACCCTCCATGAAGCGTCCTGGAAGAGAAAGTTCAGAAAGCAAACCGGAAAGGAACGAGATGCATTTTCATTCATTGTATATAAGATAAAAACACTTGTAAAGTCCATGCTGGAAGGGGACCTTGTAGATTACCTTATCTAAGCCCCATATTTCATAATTTCTTTTTTAAAAAGAATGCCCCCAAAATTAAGAGAATGGTGCTGAATTCCCCTGAGAGTTGCAAAGACTCAACCAGGGCACATGACTTTTAGTTCAAATGGTTGCCTATTAAGCTTAGCATATTTTTGAGGGGGAGAAGGAGAAAAAGGAAGGGATGTTTAAATCTGTGACTTCACAGCTATAGCTAATTTCCAGTGATGGCTTTTTCCTCTTTTCATTTTTTGTCTACAAAAAATGCCATTTGTTATGAGTTGGCTCTCTGAGTGGGGGGAGGGGAAGGAATAATGGAGGATACTATGGGGATGTAAAAAACAAAAGACAGCAGTAAAAATGTATTTTAAAAAAGAAACCAGGTTGTACCAAATAAAGATTTATGGTTTCATATACAATTCAGTTAGCGCCTTTTGAAATAAGCTATAACTAACCAATACATGGACAGAAATCTGAAAATATGTGCAATGTGCAATCCTTATGGGCCTCCCACCTCTGCAAAGGGGTTTCAGAGAAATATTTTCCCATAGCCCTTCTTTCAATCCACGCTTTTCATTATAATTTTGTAACAGTCAATTACTTTGGTGTTGTTCTTTCTGTTTATTGATTGTAATCATTGTATATACTGGGTCTTTCTTTTCTTTTTTGACTCTGCTTACTTCACTCTGCACCAGTTCATGTAGATCTCTCCATATATCTTTTTATTCATTACAATAATCATTTCTTATACCACAGCAAAGTTCAATTACATTCTTGTACCAGAAACAACATGATTTCTTTAAATATATGTAATAAATTCACCATTTAATTAAAAAAAGAAAAAAGAATTGCTATCTCTCCCTACCAGATCTGGATACCTAATGTAGCAATGGGAAAAGTAATGAGGCTGATCTGGTGCCCTTTCACTAGCTACTTTGCTGCTTCTATAAACAAGGGAACTCAGGGGAACTCTCTTTCCAATACCACAAAACCCTAACCATTCCACTTCTTGAAAATGAAGGCATCTCTAAAGAAACAAGGCACTCTTTTCACAGCAGCTAAATTATCTTCCCAAACAAGCATCAGAGATCCTCAAGGGCTGACCTACCTCTCCATCCAAGTGATCCAATAAGACACTCATACTGGACATCATAACAGTTGGGACTTGTTCTGCTAACTCTGTCAGGAAACTTGCATAGCCCTTAGCTCCTGAAGTGTCACGACTTAATTCCTGAGGGCACTTTTGTCCAATTTCTCTATGTGAGCAAAAAAGCAGTTAGGCCTTAACAAAACCTAGGTAACAGAAAAGTGTCTGAGAGATTTCATACCTAAAGGAAATTCAGATCACAAATTTCTCAATTCCTGCTTCAAATGTCTCTCTTCTGTGACTGAGAATAAAGGATCACAAGATTCTCACCTTACAATTTCCCCCACTATGCTTTTCATTCCATACTCAGTTGACCAAAGGCTCACAGCTGCCACCAACACAGATACCAGGTGTTCAAAGTGCTGCAACATCTGGATGATTTTTAAGGTAGCGCCTGTCAAAAAACATGAGGTCAGAAATTAGGGAGTGGAGAGCTAACATGCATATCATCATAACATGCAATTATCTCATTTTCTCCTCACAACAATCCTGGGAGAGAGGGTTGTTTCAGTTTCTTCATTTTACAGATGAGGAAATGGAGGCAGACAGAAGTCAAATGACTTGCCCAGGGTTACAAAGTGTTCAAAGCCAGGTTTGACCTGGGGTTTCCTCCTCCTGGCCTAGTGTTCTATCCTCCAAGTCCCATAGCTGCCTGCCTAGTGAAGCAGCTGGAAGGAGAAAAAGGGGCTACTCACTGAGCATGTGGTTGTAGCGTGTCAAAGCTACCCCAAGGAGGTGGGTGATGGCTTCCCTAGTTGGACGGTTCTTCTGGTGGCTAATGCTGGGGTTCTCAAGAAGTCGGTAGCAGCAGCCTGTTAGCAGACTAAGAGAAAGGAAGGTATTACAGCTGATGAGACATAAAGCAGTCAAGTGTGAGCAAATGATAGGTCCTTGTCACAAGGATTCCTAGGCCCTGCCTCATGCACCCCATTGCCACCTCTACCAGCAGCAGTCTGGCTTTCCTGGCCTCCCTCCTTTCACAGCTTTCTCTCTCCAACTTTTCCACCCTGTGTACCATGCTTCTCTTATGAGCTGTTAAATGAGTAGTAGTTTTAATAAATGTCTGACACTAATGATGTGAAGGGCCTTTTCCAAAGAACAATTCTACCTAGTCATGTAGAACTCATGATGGTTCTGGTTAGTAATAAGTTCTCTGTTCAGAGAGGTCTAACTGCCCTTACCTGTGAGAAATGTTTGAAACATTACCTAATCCTCCTTCCAACAACAAAATATGACCCTGTTTATAATTCTTGTTTTTCTGATGGAAAACCCAGTCAGAGAGACAGAGAAAGCTAGAAACAGAATCTCTATTGTTCTCCAGCCCCCATACTTGGTACCACTGTTACTGGAGATTTAAAATCTCCATCTGCTCCATCAGTTCCTGCCCTCCATCCTAATCACTCACCTAACAAATTCTTCTTCAACCACCGAGTGGTTCCACAAGCGGTAAATGTCTAGCTGCAGAAGCTGTGTTAGCGTTTGGAGAATTGGTTGCCTTGCTTCTTCCCAATCAAAGCCTTGAGCCTTGGTCCGACTCTTTTTGCCCTGAACGGAACAAAGAATAAACTGTATCATAGAAAACTGAGGAGCTCAGAACTGCCAGCTTAAGCATTCAAACTAAAGGCCACCAAGAAAGCTATAGTACAAAGTCACACTAGAAGAAATATTAGAAATTCCAATATAGAGAAGAGTTGCTACTTCTGTCAAAGAAGTCTGTACTAGGATGCCCTTCAATAGCCCCTTCAACCAGAAATGAATGAAATAAGAAAGGATGCTCTGGACTAGAAGTTTTCCTCTTCTTCCTCCATCTTCCTTCCTTTCTACCCTCGCCACTGTCCTCCCCACAACCAAGAGGGCCAGGAACTCCAAATTACCTTTCCTCCATGGTCTATTAAGCTTGTCTTGCTAGTTGTGGCCTCAAAAGATTCCATGAGGCGGATCAGGGCATAACAATTCATTTTGAGGGCATTGAGGTGGGCACTTCGATCTGATACACTCAAAGTTGTGTCATCTAGGACAGCTGGGAGATCCTGGGAGTGACGAGACACCACTGCAAAGGGCAGGATCTGGGAGTTAACCATGCCCACCTTCAGAATACACCAGGCTCACCCCAACCTGGCAGGACCACCCCTTCAGCCATCAGATTACCAAAGATCTGTGCTCATCTCTTGGCGGCTATAACATAAGCTAAGCCTTCTGGGACCCTTGACCTCAGTACCTAGGCTTGCCCTGTTACCTCTGCTCTACTGCAGTTACCTGGATCTTTCAGTAGCAGCAGGATCACTCCCCTTAGGGGAAGATGGGAGCAAAAGAGGTGGAACTTCTTGTCGGTCTGCCCTTACAGCAAACAAACACAGCTCTGTATTGCCCACCAAGATTACAGACCTGGATGCAAGGTAAGGGTCCTAGGGCTCAACCAGACCAGCCAAGTAACAATAGCCTGGAGATCATCATATGGCTGCTACAGTTCAGCAAAGAGTGAAGCCCCCACCTTCCAAAATCCCTACCCTTCACCCCAGAAACACCTTTCATCAGGAATTCCAAGGCATCTTCCTTGAGGTCAGGATCAATACTTCGAAAGTGACTATGAGAAAAAGGAAAGCAGTAAGACAGCAATCTGAAGATCACACTCCAACAGAGATCAAGAACAGACTAACAGAACTGGTTATAATGTAAGTGATCCAGTGCTTGAAATGGTAAATGACACTATGCAATAGAACCAGGGTAACAACAGGCTACTTATAAGGATAAATGACAATCAGTAGAGTTCCAAGTAAATTACCCAGAACTGTGGGGTAGTGAGCCTATAATCTGAAAGTTCAGGAATAACTTACAATGTGGCAGTAAGGTATATTGGAAATATTTTGAGAACAAACAGCCAGTCACCACTTCTTTTTAAGGTATTACTAACTGAAACACTTACTGTAATATGCTATAGAGTGTGTCAAAATGCTCCAACACAGCTAGAGGCCCCTGCATTCGGAAGGCAACCTGGAACACTGCCAAGAAGAAGACAGAAATCCATCAAATGTCCAAGGTAGTGAATCCCATCTACACATCTGGGAGGGAAAAGAATCAAGTTCCATATTTTCTTCTTTTTGGTAGATACACAAGAGTCTATAGGCTTGGCCGGCATATACTAGATGTGGCTACATTTGAGGCTATGATCCTTTATTTTAAAGTCCTCCACTGGATATCCAAGAGAACAGGTACAGATTTAATCCACTACTGGAGAAATTATCCTTAGCTCATCCTTCCAAAGAACAAACCTCTTCCTGAGAGAGAGAGTGAAAAGTTGAGGATGACACTTGCGTTGTTGGCCTGGGGGACTGGGAGGATGGTTATGCCCTCAAGTCCCACTTCCCCTCCTAACAGTGATAGGTTAATAATGCCTTCAAAACAGCAAGAGTGCTCTATGGGGATAATTACCTAACAGTTTTAGAACTGATATCTCCCTTACTCTCTGGATTGTACTCCTATCCCTCCACTTGAATGATATGATACATGGTAGAAGAGAGAGGGAAAGAGGATAAAAAAAGAAAAAAAAGAAAGAGATAGGTACTATTCTCCCCAATTCAAGGAGTCCTAAGTCAGCTGTGAGGGAGGTCAGGCTAGATCCCTCCTCTGAGTCTGTACTGCTACCTCACTGACTGCCAGACCTAAACAGGTAACATATCCATATTATGTTGTCCAAGGGCAACCTAGCCCTTGCTGCTGCTTGCCAATCATTTCTGGGCATATAACTTCCAAATCAACATCTCTAACCCTGACTTCCCACAAGAACTTCAGTCTGGTTCTTCCAATTCTCTAATAACTAATTTACCTTAAATTAATCATATCCAAAACTGAACTCATCATTTAGATATCCCACAAAACTGGTTTCCCTTTCCTATTACCCTATTTCTGTCATTAGTACCACCTGACTACTAATATCCTAGGCAAGGAACCTCGGGATCATTTTCTAAGGAATCATCCCCCTCTTCTTCATCCCTCTATCACCACATCCTATAGGTTTTTCCTTCTAAATATCAACCTTTTGCATGTTCAGGTTCTATTATTTCAATGGTCTCCTAATTAGACTCCCTACCTCTAGTCTTTTCTCCCACTACAATAGTACCTATATGGTGCTGCCACATTCATCCCTTTGCTCCTCAAGAAACTGCTGCTTCAAACACCAACTCCCTCACCTAGCTTTTGAAAACTCTCCATCATCTAGTTTCATCTGACAACCTTATTTCCCACTGTTCTTTAGTATTCTCTCTATGTTCTAGTCAGGTCCATTTTCTGAGCCTCTTACCCAAAGAATGTTCATTTTGACCTCTTTGCTTGTGCTCTTGCCGTACCCCAACCTAAAATATCCCTTCCCCAATCCAAATTCTAGACAATTCCTCCAGGCTCAGTTCCAATTCCAATGAAGCCTGAATTGAACTTTTATTGTACTTAGAGTTAGTACCATGCAATTCAATCAATCAACAAGCATTTATTAAGTCCCTACTATGTGACAGGCACTGTGCTAGCTGCTCAGAATACAAAAGTCCATCAAGGACTTCCCCTCCAGGAGGAGAAGACACGGTTCATTATCGTTCCTCACCCAGTTTGCATTTCAGCCAGATTAGCCTAGCAGCTCTTAGGTGATCTAATCCTATCTCCATGCATTTGCCCAGATCACCCCTATGCCTGGAATGGAATCCCTCCCCATTTCTGCCTGCAGAAATCATTGTACCAAAAAATGATTTAATCAGTCAATTAAAAAGAGGGTGGGTGTGTGTGTGTGTGTGTGTGTGTGTGTGTGTGTGTGTGTGTGTGTAAAAAGAAATTTAACAGAAGGAAGTCTTCAGGAGGTCAGAGCAATACAGGACCATATTGGAAATACCATAGCACAAAAAACCCAACCCCAAAAACATTACAGAGCTTAAGAGTTTCACATAAAATTCTCTTCTATGTTTAAAGAAAACAATCCTTTCTTAGTGTATTTTATCTTAATTTCACCTTTCCACCCATCACATTCTACCCAATATAATACTTTTTTTGTGAAAAATGTATTCCCTTGTTAAGACTCTACATTCCTACAGGGCATGGAGCCTTTCACCTTTGCAATTCAGTTCAGAAAACATTTTTTTTTTAATTTTCACATTAGTCATGTTGTAAAGAAGAATTAGAACCAATGGAAAGACCCACAAGAAAGAAGAAACAACACAAGACAACAAAAAAAAAGAGAGAGCAAATAGTATGTCTCCATCTGCATTCAGACTCCAAAGTTCTTTCTCTGGATGTGAATAGCTTTTTCCATATAAGTCTTTTGGAGTTGTCTTAGATCCTTGCATTGCTGAGAAAAGCTAAGTCCCTGAAAGTTAGTCATTGCACAATGTGGCTATTATTGTGTACAATGTTCTCCTGGTTCTGCTCACTTCACTCAGCATCAGTTCATGTAAGTTTTTCCAGGTTTTTCTGAAGTCCACCTGCTCATCATTTCTTATAGCACAATAGTATTCCATTACGTAATTCAAATATCAAAACTTGTTCAGCCACTCCCCAGCTGATGGGCATTCCCTCAATTTCCAATTCCTGGCCACCACAAAAAGAGCTGCTATATTTTTGGACATATGGATCATTTTCCCATTTTTATGATCTCTTTGGGATATAGCCCTAGTAGTACTGCTGGGTCAAAGGGTATGCACATTTTTATAGCCCTTTGAGCACAGTTCCAAATTTCTCTCCAGAATGGTTAGATTAGTTCACAACTCTACCAACAATGCATTAGTGTTCCAATTTTCCCTCATCCTCTCCAACATTTATCATTTTCTTGTTTTGTCATGTTAACCAATCTGATAGGTTTCATGTGGTACCTCAGAGTTTTTTTTATTCGCATTTCTCCAATCAATAGTGATTTAGAGCATTCAGCAAACATTTGTTAAGGCACTGTATTAGTACAAAGATGAAAAGAGACAAAACATACAGAGTATCTGAACAAAAATTCAGAAGGGGAAGCAGAGGTCTAGTCTAACCAAGACATCAACAGGTAAATAGAAAGATGGCAGTCATACAGAAAAGTTTTAAACTTTAAAAGTATCTAGGATTGGAGAAATAACTGCTCAATAACCTTGAGGAGAAGCGGACAATTACTCTAAAAGGAAATTCTCAGTATCACTGAATTCATTGGGACCTAGAGAACAAATGAATGTCCCCCTAAGAGTAGAAAAACTGAAGGATGGGGAAAAGAGGTGAAAAATAAAGCTGACATCTTCTTACCCCTAAGCTGTGAAGGAAGCTGTTTGACAGACAGTACTTCTTGTACCACATACTGGTTGACTCCTCCACTTTTCAGCAGCTCCTCTGGAGACAGTGGTAGATGAAAGTCACACAATTGAGGGGGCATCTTCCTACTGACTCCCTGGGCTAGAAAACAAAGACCAGTAATTGCTAGGGACTGCCTATTTCCTATGTCAACACGATATTGTGCAAGGATCAATGAACTCAAAAAACCTGGGTTGAACTGTAGTGGTGGTAGTACTAGTAGCAGTACTATGTACTATGTATGAGTATGTACGTAAGACACAGTATGACTATGTATGTATGACATAGTATGACTAAAGAACAAGTCACTTTAGTTTCCTGAAATGCAAAATACTTGCCCTGCCTAC